GTGTGTTATGTCCTTTACCAGACTTGGAAACCTGATGCTCAGAGAAGCAAAGTTTCATTGCTGGTCTTATAGGTGGTGCAGAGAACTCTGGATGCTTCTGAAGGGTTTGTGCCAAGCAGTGAATATCTCCTAAGCAAAACTTGTCCAAGACTTTATTCTTTGGGAATGGCTTCCTGAAGTCAGATGGATTTTGATTTTCTTAGGGTATTTTGGATGGACACAGCCTTGAGGGCTTTGGTGTTAAGAGTTAACACAGAGAATGTATATTGCCAGGAAGTAGGTTCTGTACTTCATGGATGGTGACTTGTAATTCTCTGCCAGCTGTCTGAGGTGGGTACTGCTATCACTCTGTCTCACAGGATTCAGAGAGGGTGAGTATCTTTCCTGGTCCACACAAATATCCAGGGAGAACCCTGCTCCAGAGTCTGCCTGTTGAGAGAAATGGCCCCAGGTTGCTCTCGGAAGCTATTTAGCTTTCAGAGGACAAATTAAATGACCCTATTCCTGGGCCTTGGATCAGGTTTTCCTACTGGGAGTTCTTTCTCTTTGAAGTCTGTCCGGTATGAATTTTCTAGAAATCACTCAGTACCACATGTATGCTCAGTTCCTTTCATGTGAGGACCCCATGTCGGCTGACTAAGGTGTGGTTCTTTTTTTTTTTTTTTTAAAGGTTTTTTTGAGACAGGGTCTCCCTGTAGCTCTAGCTGGCCTGGAACTTGCTATGTAGGCCAGGCTGGCCTGAACTCACAGAGATCTGCCTGCCTCTGCCTCCCAAATGCTGGGATTAAAAGGGTGCACCACCATGCCCAGCTAGGGTGTGGTTCTTTCCTACCATCTGTAGATATAGATGATGTAAAGGAAGTTGCAGAAAGAGGTGTAAATATAGGCATGTAAAGGGCACACTTCACCATTGGAGGGAATCAGAAAAGGCTCTGTGGACAGAGTGGTATATGTAGTGAATTTAGGTGGACAATCCGAGTTCATTAGACTGATCTGGGGAAGCAAGACGAAGACCAAGTAAGGCTCAGAAGGATGCAAGCAGTAAGTGGATTCTGGAGCAGGTGAGTAGGCAAGGCTGGATACAGTTGGGGAGGAGACTGAATTAGACCTGTGAGGGAGAGGATGAATGGAGACTGGCCTGCTTGGGAGCAATGACCTGGACAGGGGAAGAAGAGAAGTTTCTGGATGAAAGGGAAGGACAGGTGAGCAGCCTGAGGCATGAGCAGCTGCAACTTTGTGCCCCTGGGGTACTGTGTCTGAAATCCAGAGAATAAGGGGAGCTGTGACTCAGATGTGTGGAGTATTCAAGAGGGTGGGTGGTGTAAGCCCAGGGAGAGGGCTTACAGGGTATGGAGCCATCCAAGGCAGGAGGAAGAGAGTTGGTACATGGATGGAACACTGGACACAGGTCATGCTAGTAGGGAAGTGACTACCTTGAACCCTGATGGCAGAGGCCTTCCGAAGCTTGAGGAGAAGTAGAGGAAGGGCCCAAACTAGCTCTCCACAGGCCACCATCGCCACGTGGGAAAGGCCACTCCAAGAAGCTCTAGTTCTTTGGGGAAGACATGATGCCTGAAAGAATCTTCCTCTACCTTCTACCTCTGGAGTTAGTCCTGATTCTTCATTTTACTAGCTGTGGAGACTTGCTTACATAATGCTGAGTCCTACTTCTCACATCTGAGACATGGGAAGAGGGATTATATCTTCCTTGCAAGGAACTGTGAGAATTAAAGTAACGCCATCCTGACACATGGTAAACACTGATAAATCATAGCAGCAGCCATTATCCTTTTCCTGGGTCACCACCTCTGCATTTCCTTAGACCCCTCCACCCTCCCTCAGTCTAGGGACTAGGGAGTGTATGACCCTTCTTTTGTCCAGTGACTCTTAAAGGGCTCCTATCCTGATGTTCCCTCTTTGTCCAGCTCATGATCTGCTTAGTCTATGCATGAGCATAGTTCCAAGCAGCTTTGCTGTGGCCCGGTAGCCTTTGCTAAACTAAGGCAACTGGTGCGGCCTGCCATCTGGTAGGGCAGTAGGGAGCCAGGCCGGTGTGAATGTGGCCAGCCAGAGCATCAGACTGGAGTGCTCATCCCTCTTGTTTGACACACTTTCTCTCTCTCTCTCTCTCTCTTTAGAACCACCTTCTGCTATTTCACAGCCTGCTCCCCCCCCCCCAAAGCCTCTTGCAAATGCTGGCTTTCAGGGCTGGCACTTTCACCTCTGAATCAAGACTTGTGAGTGTGGGAGTTGAGGCTTCTGCTCGGCTTAGATGATAATTGCACTATTTAAAGCTGGCCCTGGAGCCAGAAAAGCCAGGTGTCCCCATGTGGCTACTCTAGAGTTTCTTCTGCTCACTGGCTTGTGCAGTGGGTGGAGTGGGTAGGAGGCCCTGGACAGCCCTTGAGGGGTTTCTGCTTGGCACACCTCTCTGGACTTATCTCCAGCCAGCTTTGTGTGTGATTTCGTCAGAGGAAATGGAGTTGCTACCTGACACCTGGTTTGCAGTGACTGGAAAAAGACTGGTAACTCCAAAGCCAGCTTCTCAGTTGTCAGAATGACCAAGAGGATTTTGGAAGGCTGGGTGAGGCCAAATAGCCAGCACCTCACAAGTGTTTGGCCTGGCCTCACCTCTTGGGAACTTTTCTATCACCTTTCTTGGAAGGAACTTTTTGGATGTGATCAGGTACATTTAGGGTGGTATAGCTGTGTTAAAAAGGAGCTTTTCAAACTCTACCCTCAAGCTTTCCTTTGTGCAGCATGAAGGTAATGCCTTCTCTGCCACCTTAGGGTGCTTTTTCCTTTTTAGAGTTCATCTCATCCATGATCTCAATCCTGAAATCCAGGTTTGCAGGCTCCATCACAGTAGAGACCCCAAGAGTGGTGTCATACCCAAGGTTGTCTGACTGGTCTTGGTTTAACCGTACCCCAGATCTCCTGAGGCCTGGTTCTGGCAGTCTGCAGAGCTGAGACCATCCCAGGGTACTGAGCGCTCTCTCTCTCTCTCTCTCTCTCTCTCTCTCTCTCTCTCTCTCTCTCTCTCTCTCTCATAATGAAATCCAAGGCCAGAGCCTTATACATAGAGGGTAAGCCCTATACTACTAGCCCTCCCAGCCCCATACTGCTCATCCCTACTGGATCACCTCTTCACAGGGAGCTCTCCTCCAGCCTCGTCTCCTCTTTGGGGCTTTTCAGTTTTTTTGAATGTGAGTGACTGATTGAGGATATAGAGGGAATGTAGGCCCAGATTTTGAGTTTGGAGAGGTAGGGTGGGACTTTGGGGCCCTTTCAGCCTCCTAGCCCAGAGCATTCAGGGCAAAGGGGCTCTGGAACACTGGCTAGGAGAAATTGCTGTTATTCGCATCCACCAGGACAGCTCTAATCAAACTGGAGTGGCAGCCTTTCTTCACCCTCGCCACTCTGATGCAGGGAGTGTGGACTGCTAGACCACTACTTTCCACATTGGTCCAACGAGAAGAAAGAATCCCAATAAATAGAGTTCATGTCCTCTTTCATTTCTGGGAGCATGTGTATGCCATGTGTATGTGCCCTAGGTCTGCCTGTTCCCATGTCTTGTGTGTGTGTGCGTGCGTGCGTGCGTGCGTGCGTGTGTGTGTGTGTGTGTGTCTAGCGCATGCTGGCTTGAACTATGGCTCCTCTGGAGATGGCTGTGAGTTCTGGGGTTTTCTAGGTGCTTCTCTGTCTCCTCCTAATTTGCCCCCCCCCCACCGATTTTTGCCTATTTCATCAGAACTCTGTTTCCCCTGTTGGCCTAACCCCATTCAGAAGCCTGTGTCTGACCTCTCACTCATACTGGGTCCTGACCCTCCTGTCCTCTCCTGTTGGAGGTGTATAGGAGGCTGCCCCTGTAAAATCTCTAGAAAGGCATGAAACAGGAAGGGAATTACTGCTTGCGGAGGTCTCCAGGGTACCCACCACTGTGTTGGGGTCTTTACATGGCTTCAGAGCTCTCATGCAGTGGGAGACCTGAAGATGCACCCTCTGGGAACTGATGAAGCCAGTGGCCTAGCAGTGGGCAGGGAGGTTGGAAACTGATAAGCAGAGAAACTCTCAGCTGCATGCTGTTGTTCACATTCTGCCTTCCTTTGTCTGTGACCACTGGGCTTCAAGCATCACTGGATGTGTATACTCACCTGGCTGGTGACTTCTGGTAGCACCAGCAATGGGTAATTACCTAAACCAAGGAAGCAGATTACCAGCCATGAGTGCATTACCTCATACAAGGTCTAGCCCTGAAAGCACCCTTTCCACCCTCTTCTGAATGTGGACCCTGGGTTCCTTTGTCAGTCTGTGCTCTACACAGAGGTAGAGGCTATGTATGGATCTACCAGGTCTGCCCGTGTCCTCCTTGGTGAACTTTAGAAGTGGGGAATGACAAGCCAGCCTCCTCCCTGAATTACAGGTATCCTAGCAGGTCAGAGCTCCCTGCCTGCCCCAATGCCCAGCCTGTGTTCTCCAAGGCCTCAGCTATTTTGTGCCAGTGGCCCCTGTTTCCTGTAATCCCTAGGAGTCCAACCTCTGTGGGACTCCCACCTGCTAAGTCCTTTAACCCCTCTGTTCCTGTCTTGGCTTGAATATGGGAGAGAAGGCTATGGGGGTGGGGCAGAGACCCTATTTTCATCCTTTCCACCCTCAGGTCCCAAGAGAACTCTGGGCAGCCTGCTGGCTGCTCCCCTGCCGCTGACTGAATCATTTCTATATTTGGCCATTGAGCCACGTGGGTGGGGAACCACTGCGGCTGCACTTGTGACAGCTGTGGGGGGCAGGGGCAGGGGCTGCAGGCACAGAGGCTAGGCAGGAGGAGGCATGTGCATTCCCTGGGAAAACTAAGGAGGTGCCATCAGAATGAGAAAGCCCAAGAGGGGGCCTGTGCCCACACTTGCTGTTCCCCTGCTCTGGTTCTGGGCATGCCTCCTCTGACCCTCCACTGATGCCCTTCTCACTTCAGCTGGTCCTCACAGCACTCTCTTGTCCCACAGACCACACCGCCCTCCTGAAATCATGGGTGTTGCTAGACACAGCTGGGACTCTGCCAAGCTCTGGTGCTCATTCTAAGACAAGGGCTGCCTTCCAGTCCTGCTTGCCCTGCCTGTCATGGCCGTACTCCAATGCTACCCTCTTGTTTGGGGACACAGGGCACCCAGCCCCAGCCCTGAGAAGTTAAGCCAGGCCTTCTGGCTGCATTCCACAGGGACACTGAAGACCCCAGTCTCCTTTCAGAGCAAGAGCAAGTGATGCCATGGGAGAAGCCCCTGACCACCTGTCCACTTGCCTGGCACTGCCTGTTCTGAGACCCATGTACTGGGTCCTTATGCAGGTGCCAACCCTGTGAGCTCCTCCCCATCCCTTGACACAGAGAAGGCCCTGCCCGCCCCCACCATGTGTGAAGTGATGCCCACGATCAATGAGGGGGACCCCCTGGGCCCCCCACATGGCGCTGATGCTGACGCCAACTTTGAGCAACTGATGGTGAATATGCTGGATGAGCGAGAGAAGTTGCTGGAGTCCCTTCGGGAGAGTCAGGAAACTTTGGTAGCCACACAGAGCCGACTCCAGGATGCCCTACATGAGAGGGACCAGCTCCAGCGCCACCTGAACTCCGCCCTCCCCCAGGTAAGGCTAAAAATTCACCTGTCTCAGCTCCTTTGACCCGAATACTGTTGGGCCTTCAGCCTTCTGCATCTACTTGCGTATCAGATGTTGGACTTCGCAGAGTATTTGCTCTAAACCCCTTCCCTCCCAAGCGCCTCTGCCTTGATTGGCTCCACCGGGAGACAAGAGTGCAGAAGAAATCCAGTCATAGCTGCCAACTGTAGTGAGCCCAGGCTACCAGTAGGTGGCACCCTAGACTGGAAAGAAAGCTCCTTTCTGATTTCCTCATCAGAGAAACCGATTCCTAGAGGAGGCAGGAGGGAGAATCACAGAAGTAAGAGGAGGGAGAAACCTTAGAGACCACGTAGCCCAGTTCCCCTACTACACAGATGAAAACAAGAGACCTCACACAGAAAGCTCCAGGCTGAGCTGAACCTGGACGCCAGGTGTCTTGGTACTCCATCTTCCTCCTCAACAACACTGCCACTAGCTGTGACAGTCACCATTTATAGTGCATTTTCTGTGGGCTAGGCATTCTGCAGAAATTATATCAGCAAATTCTCACAATACTGAAGTTGATGCTATCATCACCATCATCCTTCTCTACAAATGATGAAATTGAAGCTGAGGGAGATAATGAATTATATCCGGCTCTGCAGGTTAAGTAAGAAGCAGAGGGAAGAGTTGAACCCTGGATGGCCATATGTCTCTGAGGTGAAGTGTCTTACTCTCCACTTATTTCTACTTTACCACATTGACTCTGGATCTTTGGGTTGCTTCCTATTTAGCATCTATTGTGTAGGTAGTCCAGGAAAAAAAACAAAACAAAACAAAAAAACCCCAAAACAAAACAACAACAATAAAAAAACCCACCTTACTTAGAGGCTAGAGACAGGAGCAGGGACCTGAGTTGTCCTACAGCTTATCATAGAGGGTATGAATTCTGCCAGGTAACCAGGTCCAGGGAGGGTTGCGGTTTGTCTGTGAGCACAGAACTCAGCAGAGTCTTTATGCCTTCTTCCTGCCTTTTCCACCTCATCTCAGGAATGAGGTGGGTTTGGATGCATTGCATAACCACCCTGAGCAAGCGGTGGTGGGGGTGGGGGGGTGTCTGTTAGGGTTAGAGAAGCAGCCCTGGAAGTCAGATAGCTTGAACCTTAGCTCCAGGTCCTTTCTTCAAATGTCCTTTTTTCAACAAGGCTTGGCCTGTATAGGTGAGTTTCAACTCAGAGCCCAGATATGATAGGGCCGGGACTTATGAGGCTTTATCACTAAGAATCTGGAGCCCTGGTAGAGAGGAAAGGTGGGCATGTGTGCCCTTCCCACCTTGCCAGTACACAAGCCATGGACATGCATTGGGTTGAATGAACTGGTTCCTGTTCTCAAGGAGCTTAGTGATAGAAAAGAGACACAGAACAACGCAGATACAAGGAGAGAATGGAGAGGACAGTAAGGAGGCTCAAAAAGGTAGTGAAGCACAGTGTAAGTGATAAAAATGGCTGCATCTGATGGACTTACATGCTCTGTCCATGGGGCTCATTTAATCTTCACAGCAGTTCTACTGAGGGGACTGTTACCTCTGTCCTATAGGGCAGAGTTCAGGGTCAGAGAGGCTGGGTGATGTGCAAGGGCACAAGCTGAATGCAGGAGAGCTGAGGTTTGATTCCACTTCTTAACCTCCCACATTAGAAGCTTCATGAGGAGAGGAGTCGTACTTTTCTTACTCCTAGCAGCAAAGACCTGGTACTCAAAATCTTTGTGACTCAATGGTGGGCTCCCAAGTTCGTGTTCTTAACCATTATTTTGATGGTTTTCATGAAGGGACCCTCCTATGAGGAATCTGGAAAACCCCTGAGAAGGCTGGATCCTTTTGAGATGGTCTTTGGAAGAGAAATGTGACCTCAGTAGAGGGTGACAGAGGTTAGGCTCTGCGGGAAGCCCAGTGAAGGTATGGTTCTAGGATGACTTGCTGGTGTTTGGAAACAGCAAGTGACTCAGGTAGCCTGGGTTTCAGAGTACATGAAAAAGAATCATGATTAAGAAGTTTGAAAACCAGGAGGAGTTGTGGACTGTGTTGTGCTTTGGGGTTTGTCCTGGCAGCAGGCTATCAGTTAGACCAGGAAGGGAGGACACAGCATTCTGGGATAAGGAAACCAGTGGCTACTCAGCCTGAGGCCAGGGGAAAGGTAAACATTATAGCCCTTGGGGGCTGGTATCATAAGGTAGGGGCATGACTTGAAGTCTTGACTCTGGGTACAAATGTGTGTGTGTGTGTGTGTGTGTGTGTGTGTGTGTGTGTGTGTGTGTGTGTGTAAGCATGACTGTGTGGGTGCATATGTGTAAACTGAGAGGTAAAGCAGTATCAAGCTCAGGCCTCAACTTCCAGAGAATGAAATATTTAACTTTCTCTCCCTTTGGCTGTGGCATTGATAGAAAGGTAGTCATCAAGGAATAGGGTAAGAGGTCTTCAGTTTCTCATACTTCGGCTTCTCTGGTACCTTGTCACTTCCCACAGTCCTTCTAGCCCCTTTTGCCTGTTCAGCAGTAACAAGGGGGAGCTGCTTTGGGGATTTTTCCTGTGGCCATACATTCTTGGTGTTTAAGGGGATTGTAGAGTAGGGATGGGCTACACCCTCTGCAGTATGCTTAGTCTCAGAGGCCACAAGGTTCAAGTACTCATCTGGGATGATGTGATGTACTAGAAGGTGGGATATGATATGCCTGGAACTTCAAGGCCAGGCACTCTTCCCTATCTGCTTATCCTGATGTAAGAGGGTAGGTTGGAAAGGTCTCTGAAAAGTATGGGCGTGTGACAGGGTGAGACTGTGTCCCTGGGAAGGGACAGTTAATGCATGCCATCAGAAGCTGGACTGCCACCCTGGCTTGACTGAGCGGGCCTCCCAGGACACCACAAAGCTGAATGCCTTCCTATTCTTCAACCCATTTGTTTCACTGGCCATCTGCAGTTGAAAGGCCCTAGGGAAGGGTAGAAGAGAGCTTCTTGGGATTCATGTCCATGTGGGCTTTATTGTACCCTTCTATTCCCTTTCTAGCACTATCAGATGCTGTGTGGGCCTCACTCTACCAGGCTAGCAGAGGCATCATTGCAAAGGAGATGGATACTAAATTGCCAGGGAATTAGAAAAGCTGAGTGGGAGGGAGAGCATGATCTGGTCACAGTGGTGACTGGAGGGGATGAGGCTACAGGGCAGACTCTGTGATTTTTCTCAGTCCTGTGTATAGTCCTTTTCCCTGGGATCCTAACATGCCCTAGGTCTGGGTTCCTGAAGGCTTACTGTCCTGCAATGAGGATAGGTGGGATTGCGGGAGGTGGGCAGGTAGAAGTAAGGGGTGAGTAAGAGAAGCCTACCATATACTTGGATGTGTGGGGTACAGCTTGAGGAGTAACACTGAAGGACTTTGGGGGCTTCCAGGAATTTGCCACCTTAACTCGGGAGCTGAGTATGTGTCGGGAGCAGCTTCTGGAGCGAGAGGAGGAAATATCAGAGCTGAAAGCAGAACGGAATAATACAAGGGTAAGTAGGGATGCCCATGCGTGTGTGCGTGTGTGTACCCTGACCAAAAAAGCAGGCAAGACCTGGGCTAGGCATAGCCTCACCATCCTGACCTCATCCTGCCTCCTGTTCTTGGTCATGGGCAGACCTCATGATTTCCAGTAAAGTCTCTTTACTAGTAGTTGCTTGATCACAAAAGGGTAGAGTTTCTAGGGAAGAGACCAGGACAGCCAACTTAAAGTGGGTGTTTAATTGGAGAATAGCTTTACAAACATGGGAGAATTTGAACATTTTAACAGTAATCTGTCTATACCTGGTGATTGTGTGGGTACTGCTTATAGCCCTTGGAGCACATGTTCACAGCCCTCCTTCCTGCCCTCTCCTGCTCTCTGCCAGCTGCTTCTGGAACATCTGGAATGCCTTGTATCCCGCCATGAACGGTCATTGAGAATGACGGTGGTAAAGCGCCAGGCCCAGTCACCTTCAGGTGTCTCCAGTGAGGTGGAGGTGCTGAAGGCCCTTAAGTCACTATTTGAGCACCACAAGGCCCTGGATGAGAAGGTACCAACCTGCCACACTCTTTCCCCAGTCCATCCAAGGCTTTCCTGAGTCTCTTGTGTTCTTTCCTTGGATCTCTGCGCCCAGTGTTTAGGGGAACCTGTCTTCTAGCTTCAGAACTGGCTTCTTCTGTCATTGACGTAGTCAGATACTTCTGGATTCTCTCCTTGTCATTTGCCTCTTGGCAGGCCCTTCACTTCCCTTCATGCCTAATAGTGGTAGACCAAACCTAGGTTGCTCAAGCCCAAGCTCTATGGGGACTTTTTCTTTCTCCATCTCTCCTTATCTTGGGCAGGTACGTGAACGGCTCCGGGCAGCACTAGAACGTGTTACTGTCTTGGAGGAGCAGCTGGCAGGAGCCCACCAGCAGGTAAGCTGCCCTGGTGGGTCTGCACATTGAAGCTCGTAGAAATCCAGCTCGCTTCTCTCTTTGCCCCACTGTGTTCCTCTTCGACTTTTTGCCTGCTGTGGCTAGAGGCTGGTAGCTAAAACTAAACCAGGCATCTCTTTCTAAGAGGTCTGGAATGTATAGGAAGTCTTCTTTGATTCATTGTTCTGGGGCCTGTATTTTACAGGTATCTGCCCTGCAGCAAGGGGCAGGAGTTCGGGATGGAGTGGCAGAAGAGGAGGGGACTGTGGAGCTGGGACCAAAGCGCCTGTGGAAGGTGGGTAATGGGGAACTGTTTAGCAGGGGCCTGTGTTCCTCAAGGTGGGAATAGGAAGCTCTGTAGAATAATTGCTTGAATTAAATTTGGGGCTTTCAGTAATGTAGTAATATTCCCACTTCTTTCCCCTTCCTCTAACTTCATTTGCAAAGCAATCTATAGATTTTCAGTTTTGAGCTGGGCACATGGTATATGCTTACCCACTTGAATTGTTAGGGGCCATCTGCCTTGGATGTCAGCATCAGGCAAGATTCCTTCCCTTTCTGAGCCTTTGTTCCCCTAATCTGTCCCTTCCTGGGTTACAAGAGACTGAACTAGCAAGAGGTACACAGAAGAACAAGGATATTTGGCCATTATCAGGAGTAAACTCCTGGGCCCAGAGGAAGGAAGGTGTACCTGGAGGTGAGCTCTATTGTGGGTAGATCTGTGACCCGAGAGCATGTGTTCCTTCCTCCCAGCCTCCCTGGGATGGAGCAGGTTCAGGGGTGTGGGGGTGTGGGATTTTCTGCCTCCTTGACTAACTGATGGCTCACTGTCCTTGGAGGATGACATGGGCCGGGTGGAGGAGCTGCAGGGGCTCCTGGAAAAGCAAAACTTTGAGCTGAGCCAGGCCCGGGAGCGACTGGTTACCCTGACTGCAACTGTGGCTGAACTTGAGGAGGACCTGGGTACAGCCCGCCGGGACCTCATCAAGTCTGAGGAGCTGAGCAGCAAGCATCAGCGGGACCTCCGAGAGGTGGGTAAGGGCCCAGGCCTGGTCTCAGCAACCTCATCTTGCTAGGCACAGGTGTATGGACAGAGGTCTGGGCAACAGCTGGGAAGGTTAAGATTCAACACTTGGCAGGATCCAGTGCGTCAAGGGAGGTGCGAGGGTTGGGTCCAGGCCAGGAACTGATAAGGAGAGTGCTGATCAGGGCCCTTTCTGTGTTCTAGCAATCAGGTGTTGGTGAGGAGGTGCAGATTTGAGGTGGGCAGGGAAAGGTTGATGACCTTTCCTTTCTGTCCTCTCTGCTCTACTCAGGCTCTGGCCCAGAAGGAGGACATGGAGGAGCGAATCACCACACTGGAGAAGCGCTACCTGGCTGCTCAGCGTGAGGCCACATCCATCCATGACCTCAATGATAAATTGGAGAATGAGTTGGCCAATAAGGAGTCCCTGCACCGCCAGGTAACTCCTCCAGATGGCCCAGGGTGACATTCCCTGGCACTAGGAGTCCTGATGATCACGTGGTGGCCTAGGAGCCTTTGGGGGTCCTGCGGGTCCTCTGGGAAAAGAGGAAGTCAGGCATCTTGGACAATAAAGAACCCAGATTGTACCTTGATCCTTCTGTTCCCTGCTGTGGCTGAGGTGGCCATGGGGACCCAGGGCTTGCTCCTGAATTACTTCCCTCTCCATACTGCTAGTGTGAGGAGAAGGCCCGACACCTGCAGGAACTACTAGAAGTGGCAGAGCAGAAGTTGCAGCAGACAATGCGCAAGGCGGAGACTTTGCCAGAGGTGGAAGCTGAGCTGGCTCAGAGAATTGCAGCTCTCACCAAGGCAAGTGGACCAGTGGCTTGGGCTCTACCTCTATCTCCTGTGTCCTAGGCTTTTCTGGGAACCAGGCAGGGTGTGAAGAGAGTGGGAGGCATATCAAGCCAGGGCCAGGGCATTACTTCCCTGTGTGATGCCAGTAAATGCATTACCTTGTGTCTCTTGGTGTCCTCATCACCTCATCAGGAATGTGACAGTCCTGTAGGAAGGTGGACAAAGTCCCTTAAGGAAAAGCAACTACACAGATGCAGAGTATGTTATTATTATCCACACCACTGTGGCTGATATTCCTTTTTGTTTGAGGCTGTAGTGAAAAGATCAGGATTTTCATCTCTGGAAAGATGAAACCCAAGGGGAAATACCATCAAAGTCTGTGTATCCCTGAAGGGTTTACAGGTGGGATTTTAGGCTGAGCACATTTTTCTTTACCAGTTTGAAGCATTCTAAGCATAGAGACCATCCCTAGTTGCTTGAAGGCTGCAGCTTTAGAATGAATAAAAGGGAGGTAGAATTTTACCTGAGGGAGAGAGGTCACTTTATAGAGCAATAATCCCTGTGAGAGGTGCAAGGTGGAAGCCAGTGGACCCTGGAAGAATGAAGGAAATACATGGAATCAGACATGTAGTGGCTTAATCAAAAGAATTTAGGAGATCTGTTTTTTCAGCTGGGTAGAAACTTTGGGGGGCCTAAGGTGGGATCACTATAGCTAACCCCAAGCCCAGGGATAGAAGGAAACCAGTGTTACATAAGCACCTGATCCCAGTCCTGAGATATAGAGACCAGCCAGTATAGCAGCTTGGTGCTCTGAAGACTGAACCCACAACCTAGCTGTGCCTCAGAAGACCCAGGGCCACACCTGCTTCTGACACTGACTGGCTCTGTGACCTGGGAAGAGTCACCTCTCCCTAATTGGGCCTTGGTTTCTTATCTCTAGGATGGTTGAGTTGGCTGTGGTGGTCCCTCAGGTCTTTTCAGTCCTAAGAAGGAAGGGCTAGGTTTAAGTTACAGCAGAAGATGTGTGTGGGCTGCTGAGCAAAAACTGACAAGAAAGGATGGTCTTAAGTAACTAATGTGTTCAAGTGAGTCATAGCAGGAGGATTTTAAGGAAGGGTTTCCTGGATTCAAGATGTCAGCAGATACAATAGGGTCTCCATCTCTGAAGACACATGAACAGGAAGGGAGGCCCTTCTACCTGGGCTGGTTTAGTGACAATGGTTATATCTATGGTGATTGTGGAGTACCTATTATAATTCTAAATGTTTGACATTATTTTGTTTAGTCTTTGTGAGAGTCTAGTAGGCATTAGTCCTGTTATTATACACGTTTTACAGTCAAGGACACTAAGGCATATAGAGGTTAAGTGACTTCCCATGGTCACATGGTTGATAAGAGAGGGAGCTAGGATTTGAACCCAGGCAATTGACATGAGTCTGTACTCTCAAGTATACCTTCATTGACCTGAGGCACAGAGGAGATGTGTTGTAGTTCATCTTTCACAAGAGAAGCTTCTTCTGGGTGTCTGGGAAGGATAGACAGTCTATTGAGTTGTCAGCTCCAGAATGTTTTAAGTTTAGTCCTGAGCAAGAAGGAGGTGGAGAAGGGGCAGTGGTGATGGCAGTTCTGTTCCAAGAAGATAGGACAGGGCTGGGTTTCCATGGCACCTGAGACCCTGATTCCCAAGACCACCCTGACACCAGGGTATGTGGCATATGGGGCCTGAGCAGAAGGAATGTAGATCTCCTGGGTGGCTGACTGTCCCCACACCTAGGCTGAGGAACGGCATGGCAACATTGAGGAGCACCTGCGGCAGCTGGAAGGGCAGCTGGAGGAGAAGAACCAGGAGCTGGCGAGGGTGAGGGCACCAGGCTGGGCTCTTGGCCTCTTCTCTGTCCCTGGGGCAGGTTTGCAGGGTAGTCTGTAGAGGGGCACAAAGGAAGGGCCAGGCCAGGGAGAGAGATTGCATAGTGGCAGAAGGAGACCCTAGGTGGGGAGGAGCTGGTTGGGAACGCTGGAAAGGGGTCCTAGGGGGCAGAGAAGGGACAAGTGATAGGCATAGAACTTCGGTGGAAATAGGTGGTTCTGGAGGAGGGCGGTGACAAGGCCTTGAGGTGGCCTGGTGCAAGATGGATGGACTGTGCAGGTACGCCAGCGTGAGAAGATGAATGAAGATCACAACAAGAGGCTATCAGACACTGTGGACCGGCTGCTTAGTGAGTCCAATGAGCGTCTCCAGCTCCACCTCAAGGAGCGTATGGCTGCTCTGGAGGAGAAGGTACAGGGGATTGACTGGGCAGGGTGGGCATGGGGCTGTGGCTGCCAGAAGGGGCCGAGTGAGGGTGGAGCCCAGGTGACTGGTGGTGTGAGATTGGGATGTGACAAGTTGGTGTGTGCGGTGATGGGGGATGGTATAAAGGCACTGCAGTGAAGGCCACCTGGGCCACAGCTGGGGAAGGAAGGAGCATTCCTGGCTAGGGAGGGGCATGCTGGTCTGTAGAGGTGGGCTAGAAGAAGGTACCTGGGAGACACAGCAGGGTCATTGGCCAAACAGGGCCCCTCCCTCACAGCTCCTCTCCCTCAGAACATGCTGATCCAGGAGTTGGAGAGCTCCCAGTGTCAGATAGTGGAGCAGCACCACCATAAGGTACCCAGCTGCTAGCTAGCCCTGCCCACGTGGGAGTGCCCCAGGCACATGCCTGGTTTTCATGCAGCTGTTCTGTGTTAGCTTCTGGTAGTCCCTGCACATAGTTGTGCCATCACTCTTTAGTGTTGTGCAGTGCAGTAGATATATACTATACCTATACTGTATCCATACAGAGGAAAGAGAACCAGGCCATGTGCATAGTGTGGGCTCAGACTCTGGGCCCAGTGAAGTCCTGCCATGCTGGAAGCAGCAGTCACTACCCCTGTCTCAGCAGTGTAGGGCACGGGACCTGGTCCTCTCTGCTGCCTGGCTTCATCTGCCATGTTTTAGTGTCATGGTGAGGGGTCAACCAGCCTGTTTTAGCAGAGTGCTTCTCTAGGCAGGGTCTGGTTCTGGCCTGGCCCCTCTCCCAATCTTCTGCTCACTTTCCAGTCACACCTCTTCTCTTTGGTGTCATCTGTGGCCCTAGCTTGGGGCCCTTGGCTTTGAACTTTGCAGTGCATTCTTCTCCTTCTCCCCAGCTGTGCTGCCTCTTTGTCCCTCTCTGACTTCTACTCTCCCATCTCTGCCTTTCCCTGGCCCCACCCCACCCTGGGTCTGCCTGGCACAGGGCCGCCTGTCTGAAGAGATTGAGAAGCTACGCCAAGAGGTGGACCAACTGAAGGGTCGAGGGGGGCCATTTGTGGATGGCATCCACTCCAGGTACTAAAGCATGGGAGGTGGTGTGTGCTGGGATGGACTCTGAGAAAGGAAACTGCCCCACTAACACACCACCCAAGACTTAAGGGCCTTCCTCCTATTCATGGTGGGACACTGAGGCTCAGAGAACGTGGCCAGTCCTCCAGCTCACCTGGGCACTTAGAAAGGGAGCACATGAGGGGTGCTGAGAATCAAGGGATCAATGGTGCTCCTTCACTGTCGTGGGGCATGGCCATGCTTCCTGGAGTCTTGGCAGAGGGCACACCCTTGAGGGGTTTGCTAAGTTACATGCTGTCCGTCTCACAGGGCTCTCTGGTAGAATGCGCCACTCACTATAGTTCTTTTGAGATACCATCTTTAGGATTGCTGTTTGAGAGCCGAGGACCACCCAAGTTCAAGTAGGAGGCAGTGGACAGAAAGACAGCAGGGAGAGTGAATGAGGCAGCAAACCCTCCTTCCTGTTGGAAGTTGAGATGCTGTGTTACTCCTGTTGGCTGCGGCATCCCTTTACTGAAAGCATTGTAAGTCATGGTGAGTGGAGCTTTCAGCCATCTTTTGTGAAGCAGTTATGATTGAACCCAGTTCTCAGCCGAAAGAGATAGGGTGAGGATCAATGGCAAGGGATCAGTGGTGCTCCTTCACTGTTGTGGGGCATGGCCATGCTTTTTGGGTTCTTGGCAAAGGGCACACCCTTGAGGGGTTTGCTGAGTTATGTGCTCTCTGTCCTACTGAGGCTGCTGCTGCTGCTGAAGGGTCTTGGCTCCTTGCTGTCTCTCCAAATTAAAGTCCTTTAGATCAGAATGCAATGTGGTTCCCTTCAGTGATCTTGCTATATCAGGGAAATGGGGACCAACTATTATGAAGCTGGTTAAGGAAAATATACATATATATGTGTGGAAGGGCAGTGCTTGAGTGAGGGAAAGAGATGCTCCCCTGGAGGCCAGAAGCCTGTGGAGGTTTGAGGCGATAGACATGCAAGTGTTATCTTCAAGTTCACCAGGAATTCTGTCCATGTATAGGGAGGAGGAGGAGGATGAAGAGAAAGTAGTTGGGGTTATTCCTACTATTCCCCTCCTGTTGGCTGACCAGAAGGAACCAGTTCTCAATTAATGAGAATTGGCCCAGAACATACCAAGCTGTTCGCCACTGCTTGCTTTCCTTACTGGCTAGGAATTCTTGGCTTGGACTGTGGAGTCATTAGACCAGCACAGAATTGGGACTGAGTGTCAGGGGAGGAGGGAGACTGGCAGGAGCTCCCTTCTTTCAGGTGCATGGCATGGTTTGTAGGCTTACGTGCTCCTCTATATTCAGCTTCCTCAAGGCTTCCAAGCTGAGGAGGCACAAGGCAGAAGTGTTATAGAAAGACTTCTAGATACCCCAGTGATTGTTCCTGGCACCCTAAAATCAGGCCTGGGGTAGTCAGAGTAGGTGTTTTAATCTGTGTCTGTGATGCAGCCCCAGGGCTTCCAAGCTTCCTGGGGATGGGAGTGACACACCTGAGTTGAATTTTAGCTAGTCCAGATTATTGGGACTGAGAAGAATTTCTGCAGAGAAGACCAAGAAACAAAGACCCTCAGAGTTAAAAGACCCTCAGAGGTCATCTCTTCAGGTTCCCCCCTTCAACTACCCTCATCCTCCCCTGCCTGGCTCCTGTCACAAAACCCAAGACCCCCACTTGAAATGCCTCGCTGACATGCCTCAACTTTTTGAAAGCATCATAAACTGCTTCTTCTCAGGAAAAGATCCTGCTTATGCTAAATAGATCACTTCTCCCTACAACTTTCTCCCCTGGGTTGTTCTGACCCTGGCACACCCGAGCGTAAGTGTAGCCTCGTGCTTCCTTGGCATCCCTTGATGTTTGAGACAGCTGTGTCCCATTAAGACTCCTCCTCTCCCAGCTGGCTAGCCCCCAATCTTTGGACCCATGGAGTGTGAGCTAGGGCTGTCAGTCCTCAGGGCCTGTCTTTTTCCCTCCTGCTACCACTCAAGGTCACATGTGGGCAGCACAGCTGATGTGCGGTTTTCTCTGAGTACCACCACGCACGTGTCCCCAGGTCTGCATCGCCGCTACTCGGCACTGAGGGAAGAGTCTGCTAAGGTGAGGGGTGAGAGGATGTGTGTGTGCGTCTCCCAGGGGAGTTTGGGGTCAGTTCGACCGTGTGCCTGGCTCTAGTTACACAGACGGCTGGCGTGTGGTGCAAAGCCTTGCCCAGCCCTCTCCCATGTCAACGACAGCTGCAGCCCTCCACTTGGGGCCATTGTCAGCTGCAACAGCTGTGACCCCCCTCCTTGCCTCAGCCTCCTGGTGGGCAAGAGGTAGGGGTGGAAGACAGCCAGGGGTCCCTTGGGCCCCACTGCAGCATGTGTACATGTGTCTGGGTGTGTGCTATGTGTTTCTGGTGGCCCGGAGAGGGCTGCAGGGGCAAGATGAAATTGGCAAGCTTCCTGGAACAAAAGTGTGGTTTATAGGGGAGAGGAGGGAGGGATGACAGATTAACTGGCCCTGGGGATGGCACCTGAGAAGCAGCTGTGACTTCATGCTGTTGCCCTAGGAAGATTGGGGTGGGGGTAAGGAAAGAAAAAGGGCGGAAGAGGACCAACTGTCCCTAATTGTTAGTCATGTTCTGTCCTGAGGCTTCTTGATGTTCTAGGGCCCTAATATGGATGGAGAAAGAGAGAACGTCTAGTCTGATGGGGGAAGATTCATCTTTGCCATTGAGAATCTGTTCTAAGCCAGGTGTGCAGGTGTAGTAGTATGCTTGGAAAACTGAGGCAGGAGGATTGTCAATTTGAGGCCAGCTAGGGTGACAGGGCAAGACCCTGTCTAAAAAGAAAGGGAGAAAGAAAGAAAGAAAAAAGAAAGAAAGAAAAAGGAAGAAGAAAGGAAAGAAGAAAGGAAAGGAAAGAGGAAAACCAAGTCTAACTGGTGTGAAGAGCCTCCTTTTCTACCTCTGCTGACCTCTTGCTTCATTCTACTGTTCACAAGACTATGTCAGCTGCCCAGGAGCTCAGAGCAAAGGAGGCAAGGGCTCGAACATAGTCCCCAGTGGGGAATTGGAGCCTTGGGTCAGAGATCCTGTGTTAGAGCGCCTCTGTCCCTGCCCCCTTCTTTTCCTCTCTTTGTGCTCCTGGCTCCCCAGCTTAGTCCTACGTTCACTCCTTTTCTGAAGCTTTCTGCTGAAGAGGTTTGTAGAATGATTTCTGAAAAACTGCTGCTCTTGAGGTTGACCAGCAGATACCGTATATTATTCTGAAACTCTGGGAGACACAAAATAGTTAAACCTGTTCTTGGATCTAATCCCCTTTCCTGAGATTTTATGAATAGAAACCAATAACCTTCACATAGTGCCTGCTTTGCATCAGACCCTAAACTGAGGGCTGCATTTCCTCGTTTAAGCCTCACAGCTACCTATGAGGTAGGTTTGATTATTGTGAAGAAATGGAGGCACAGAGGTTAAGCGATTTTCCTGTGTTCATGCAGACAGTATTTAGTGGAGCTGAGACTCAATCCAAGGCAGTTATTCTGGGTTCTGTTCTTGGTTAGTGTACTTGCTAGCACCATGGAGTAGTTAGGACTGTAACTTAAGAAATAATAAGTCTAAAGCCTAATACTCCTACGAATATTAAAGCCTGAGGACTTTGATGTGTAAGCCTGGGGATCTTCTTGAATGCAGACTTTGGAGGTCTGGCAATGGGGCCTGAGATCAACATTTTCAGTAGGCTCCAGAGATGCTGATGCTGTTGAGTGCAATTGGGGAGGGTCCTACTTCCTCACTATCCAGGGGTATTATTGCTTCTTCTTTTCCTTCCTTTGCTAAGGACTGGAAGCCATCACCACTGCCAGGGGTGCTGGCCCCTACTGCCACCCCTGTCTTTGACAGTGACCCTGAAATCTCAGATGTGGATGAGGATGAGTCTGGGGGCTTGGTTGGTGCTGTTGATGTGGTGTCTCCTGGTGGCCACTCTGATGCCCAGACCCTGGCCATGATGCTGCAGGAGCAACTAGATGCCATCAACCAGGAGATCAGGTGGGTCTGGGCAGGGAGCTGCCAGATACCTGTAAGGATGGGGCCCTTCATTGAGGAATGCTGGAAAAGTATGGCTCTTCTCTTATAGCTTAGAGCCATAGTCCAGAGCCTGTGGGTATCAGGTGAGGCTCTGGCCTAGTACTGACCCTGAAGGGGCAGGGTTGTGGATGACTCTAGTGTCATCTCTTCTCCTTGAGCTAGGAGGGAGTTGGGCTTGGGAGGATGGAGCTGTGTCCCTGGTATTCAACTTGACTGTGAAGAGTGTGGCTCCTACTACTGAGGCTAGCTCAGGGTGAGACCTTTGCGAATGCTACTGTCAGTTGGGAGGGGTTATGTGACTTGCTGAAAGCCACACCTTCAAGTGGCAGATACAGGATCCAAACTCAGGTGGAAACTCGTTCCACAGTGCTATGCCTCTTGTCCCTAAGGAGGTATCAACCTGGGGCAGGGAGCTTTGTTAAAACCCTCACTTTATTCTTCCTTTTTTAGTGAGTTTATTGATGTTAATGGCAGGCAGCAATGGAAAATCTGAGCCAGGGTGTAGACCTTGACAGGCTTTTGAGGTCAGACGTTCAAATTTGAAGAAATCAGTATGAAGGCAGACACGTGGGACTAGAGAGATGGCTCAGCAGTTAATAGCACTGGCTGCTCTTGCAGAAGACCTGGACTCAGTTCCTAGCACTCACATGGTGGCTAATAACCATCCAAAACTCTAGTTTCAGGGGATCTGACGTGCTCTTCTGACCTCCATGGGTGCACTTATACATGTATGCAGGCAATACACTTATACATACAAAATGAAAATTATCAGGCCAGGCGTGGTGGCTCATGCCTTTAATCCCAGCACTCGGGAGGCAGAGGCAGGTCTCTCTGTGAGTTCAAGTCCAGACTGATCTACATAGTGAATTCCAGGCCAGTTGGGGCTACAGAGAGACCCCATCTCAAAAATACTAAAAAAACAAAAAATTACAAATAAAATGTTTTTAAAAAGACATACACTAGTATAGGATTGCCAACTTTTTATTTCATAAAGTAAAATATTAAAGATAGCTATGATTTACTATTACAACCATTTTTCCAAAAGAAGGATATTTGAACAACCCCAGTGTGGGAAAGATGTACTCTCAGAATAAGGATACATCCTTCTTCCTTGAAGGACAGTTGACATCTTTCCATGTGTCAATATAAATACACATACTCCTCACTGAGTGCCCCCATGTCACAATGCACCATCTCTACATATTTTTCACTTTTCATGGAAAAGTCCTGTCTGAGCACTCCTGACAAAAATCACTCCAGAAATGGCATCTGCTGGGAAAGTGAGGCACAGAGAGCAAAGCACCTGCTCAAGGTCACTCCTCTCACTAGGGCTAGGTCAGGGATTCCCATCTGAGGATGGTTCCTAGTTAACTGATCAAATTGCTTCCTTTCCAGAAACTGCTTTTGTTTAACTGGGAGGTAGTCCAGCCAAGGAGAGAGAAAAATGCTTCTAAACACCAAACCTTGGGAACCCCAATGTTGCCATCAACAGCAGGTGCCCTTAGGTATTGCCCACTTGTGGCCCTAGGATAGTGAGTGCAGGCAGCACCTAGCACCACCTCCTGTTGGGTCTTCTGGGTCAATGGCCAGGTCTGGTTTTCTGTCCTGCAGGATGATCCAGGAGGAAAAGGAGTCCACTGAGCTCCGAGCTGAGGAGATTGAGACCCGTGTGACCAGTGGCAGCATGGAGGCCCTTAACCTGACGCAGCTGCGAAAGCGTGGCTCTATCCCTACCTCTCTGACTGCCCTGTCCCTGGCCAGTGCATCTCCTCCACTCAGTGGCCGTTCCACACCCAAGCTCACTTCCCGAAGTGCTGCCCAGGATCTGGACCGAATGGGGGTCATGACCCTGGTGAGTCTGTGCAGTGGTTGAGCTGTCCTATGGTTCCTGAGCCCTGTGCTGGGGAGTTTAGATGGGAGGCTTGTTCCCACTCTGTTGCTCTAGCATCTTCTTTCTGTGAGAACATGCTAGGTAGGAAAGGGTTTGTTTGTAATATCTTCTCTGCCCTCTCCCTTGGATAAGCATAGAAGGCTTAGAGCCTTTGTGCACTGCCCGCTGGCTTTCTCTCTTCCAAACTGGCCCTGACTTACCTTTCTAGGCAGCTCTGTTCTGCACTGGTACTCTTTCTAGGCCTGTGCGGGGCCCCGAATCCTCTGTTCCCATCCTAAGCTGGCTTGTCTTTCTCTCTCTTTCTTTCAGCCTAGTGACTTAAGAAAGCATAGGAGGAAGCTGCTGGTGAGTGCTGCCTGACACCCAGGTACTAGCGGGTTGCCGGCTCCGGGCCCTTCCCTCTGGGCTTCTGCCCTAGGCCCTGGGCTGGGTTTACCTTGAGAGACCACAGGGCCTTGCTGCAGCGTTCTCCAGTTCTCTGCTCCTCTGCCTTGTCTGGGCTGGGTAGGCAGGCCCTAGCTCTCTCCCTCAACCCCCTGACAAGCCCACTGTCTGTTCAGTCGCCAGTGTCTCGGGAAGAGAACCGAGAGGATAAAGCCACCATAAAATGTGAGACTTCTCCTCCTTCCTCACCCAGGACGCTGCGGCTAGAGAAGCTCGGCCATCCAGCCCTGAGTCAAGAAGAAGGCAAGAGGTGAGTGGGGCAGGCCTCACTTCTGGTCTCTGTCCCGCAGTCATCTCATCCCTCCCTCTGCCTCTGAGGGGCTGCATCTCACCTGTCCCAGGTGCTTGACTGCTTCATTTCTCTTTGAAACACAGTCAGGGATGGATGTTCTCACATCTCCCTTGGCCACCTGCTTGGGCCACACTCCTTTGCCCCACCCCAACACTGATACTTAAATTCTTCCTGAGCTCTAACTTCCAACTCTCCTGCTGTAATTGAAGTATGTTTCTTCTTATTCCACCCCCTCCTGGCTGTCATCCTGTAGTGCCTTGGAGGGTCAGGACAGCAACCCCAGCAGCAGCAACAGCAGCCAGGACTCCCTGCACAAGGGCGCCAAGCGCAAGGGCATCAAGTCATCCATTGGCCGCCTGTTTGGGAAGAAGGAGAAAGGCAGGCTGATCCAGCTGAGTCGAGATGTCACAGGCCATGGTCTCTGCCCCCTTCATAGCAGAGGGCTGGGTGGGCGTTGGGGAATCAGAAGCAGGAGGGTCTGCTCAGATTGGGCCGCCTTTGCCTGTCTCCCAGGGGCTAGTGGGTGGGAACCACAGGCCAGCAGCTTTCAAGTCTGGAGAGATGATGGTTTTCTTAGTACTGTGCCAAGATGGGCTAGGCTGCTTCGTGAGGTGGTGGGCCTCTGCACTTAGAGGTGCCAGGCAAGCAGCTGGTGGCCACTGCCTTGTCAGTTCTGTCACTGCCCTGGCATGCCATATCAGGGGTTTGTATGGAGTTGAAGTCAGCTTGCTGCAGCTGCTTTTGCTCTGGAGGTTTTGATGCACTTACGGGACCTACAGGACAATGTTCCTAGTTTTGTTGGTTTTATTTTGACAGGGTCTCCCTAGTCTCAGGCTGCCTGGAGGTCATTATGTGGACCAGGCTGGCCTCAATCTCACAAAGATCTGCCTGCCACAGCCTCTGGAGTTCTGGGATTAAAGTCACCACACCTGGCATAACTTTCCTAGTTCTTTAGAGGAACCTGTTCTCCACTAGACCTTACTTCTGTTTCCCTGAATTCAGTATGAAAACATCTACTTATGGCTGCTGCTGCTTTGTCTTGTCTTTTTCTTTTTCTTTTTTCTTTTTCATTACAAGGTATTGAACCCAGGGCCTATTACATGTGAGGCAAATGCTCTACCATTGGGCTATATCTCTAGCTCTCTTTTTATTTTTATTTTAAGACCAGTTTCACTAAGTCGCCTAGGCTGGCTTTGAAATTCAGTCTGTAGTCCATGCTAGCCTTGAACTTGTGATCCTCCTGCCTCAGCCTCTGAGAAGCTGGGATTACAGGCCTGAGCTACAAGCTCAGCTCTAAATACAGCTTCATGGTGGTTCTGTTTGCCTGCTTTTTTTTTTTTTTTTTTTTTTTTTTTTAAGAAACAAGGTCTTGCTATGTACCATGTTTGGCCTGGTACTTGCCATGAAGCCTAGGATGGCTTTAAACTCATAATTTTTATGCACCTGCCTCCTGAGTGCTGGGATTACAGGTGTGGGCCACCATGTGCAGATTCTATGACTTTATAGTCTTTCAGGCGGAGAAAGTGCTTGGGCAGGAGTAGTCGGGTTGTCATTGCTGTGGCTGTATGAAGCTCAGGTCATGCTTGGTGTGGGGGAAGGACACAGTAAACATTTGCTTTTCCTTTCCTTGCTCTGTTTCTTTCCTTTCTTTCTTCTTCTCTTCCTCCCTTTTCTTCCATTGTCTCCCCAGTCATTTGTTCACACATTTGTTGAGTAGCTCCAGTTTAGCTTAGAACAAGGGGTTGGAACAGCAAGCTCCTCAAAGAGCTTGGCAGCTAATAAAGGGGAAATTAGGAGAGGATTCCAAAATGGTCCAGTAGTGAAGATGGACGCAAGTGCTTCAGGACCCAGAACTAGCTGTGGAGTGACTGGGGCGGCAGGAAGGGCTTCCTCTGCTGGACAGCTCCTGAGCCAAAGCTTGCCAGCATCTAGGACTTAGGCAAGACAAGAAGAGGCGTAAATATGTGGGGAGAGGGTACAGCTTGAGAAAGGGAAAGATGTGTGGGGAAGGTTATGTGTTCTACTGTCTGCTCTAGTAGAGAAGAGGTGAAAAGATGGCTAGGTCAGACCAGCTTGGGAGCCTAAGAAAGAAGAGGGTGAGAATTCCCCCAGGCAGTGAGGCAGTGGGATTGTTGATTAATCATGAAGGGAAGGAACTTGATGAGCTAGAAGAAAGGAACCTTTGACCCGAAATGCATAATTAGGCCTTCTCTGACTTCACATGTCTGTGAAGGTGTGAATTAGAACACAGCTATCTGAGTAAGGAGGAGGACAATGCGAAGGTGGGTACCTCTACTCAAGATGTCGGAGTCTCAGCCTGGGAATGAGGTAGGGCAGGCAGGAGGGGAGTGTGGAGCCAGCTACATGAAGGTCTGTAGAGGCATTTGTGGAAAGCCATGGGACTTCTTGTTCCCCACACTGCACTGGTACCTAAACCCCACAGTGTCTCAGACTAGTTTCTGTATCACCCACACCTGGTGCCCATGGGTACCAGAGCAGCCAGGACTACAGTGACTTTAAAGACACTGCCCTTGCCAGGAATTCTTTGGGCTTCCAGCATGAATCCAGGAGACTATCAAGAGAGTGAAGCATGTTCCCCTCTGTAGTCTGTGCAAGTAAATGCACCTGGAGGAAGAGGCCAATGAGCAATTAGCACAGCCAGAGGAAGAATAGTATACAGTGAGTGCAGCCAGAGAGAGAGAATGGTGTGCAGTGAGCATGGCCAGAGAGAGAGACAGAGACAGAGGCAATGAGTGCAGTCAGAGGAATTGATAGCCAGGAGATAGATTTCTGTTCAGAGTCCCCATCCAGACCCAAGCAGGATAATTCTTTCTGAACTTTGTAGTCCATTCATACCTGATCTCAGTGTTCGCTTTGCTCCTTGGCTTGGAAGAGTGGTGGGCTCTATGTAGGATTCTAGGGTGGGACAACTGTGGTCCATTTGGCTGGAAAACACTCCCAGGGCTGAGGCTTCCAGGGAGTGCCTGGGATGCAGAGACCTTGGGAGAAAGCCCTGGATAAAATGGGGCCTCATCAGACTTGATTGGGTTGTCTTGCCGTTCCTGCTCGGTTTTTCTGACCCAGGCCAAGGGAGGAAAAGCGGAGAGCCTGCTAATATGCACATCTCTTCCTTTCCAGTTCTGGTAACAGACTCCGAGCTCAGTCTGCAGGAACCCATGGTACCTGCCAAGCTGGGGACCCAGGCAGAAAAGGACCGGCGACTGAAGAAGAAGTAAGAGCCTCAGGCCAGCTGCTACTAGGGTGGGCACAGGCCTCCAGTCACTTTCCCTCGCCTAGGTTGTCATGGACTGAACTGAAGCAGACAGAGCCAAGCAAGGCCTGTCATGAGCTGGGTTGCCTTGGTCCACCTGGGCTCATTTGGATCGTCCTGAGTTGGGAGCAGGATCTTGCACTGATCCTAGGGAACAGGAGGCAAGAGGGCTATGAGAGAATAACCTGGGACCCATAAGTCTCTGGCAGTGCACATGAGATGTCTAAGTCAGTGTGTGTGAGGTCATGAGAGCATCTTGCCCTCACAAGGCAGGGAAGGATGTGTCATATTGCCTCAGGCTCAGAGCAGAAGAGTTCAAGGGTGGGGAGCTGGGAGAGTAGAAATGTTAGGTCTTGGGTCCATCCCTGAGTGGTCCCAAGGAATCAGCTTGCTTGAGAGATGGAAGGACTAATGAAACTATTGTTCCTCCTCCTCTAAGACATCAGCTGCTTGAAGATGCCCGCAGAAAAGGAATGCCCTTTGCCCAATGGGATGGCCCGACTGTGGTCTCCTGGCTGGAGGTGAGCCTGGGCAAGGGAACTGCTCTGGGATCTGGAAGGAAGACCATGTGGGGTGGGTATGTCAGCTTCTTCATCCTGACCCATGTTGGGATAGTCCTCTCTGAACTTCCTGTGTTACTTGTGTCTGTTCTTGGGGTTTGCTTTGTACCTCAGCTTGGTGGCATGAGGATTCTCAAGCAGCAGGGGGTGATGATGTCCCTACAGATTTCTTAGCATGTTTCTCTCCAGCTAAGTGCATGTATGCCTTACCAAGAATAAGGAGACAAAGCACTGAGGAGTCAGGAATTTTGCAGGCAGGTTGACTCTTCTCGCGTGCTGCTCTGGGAGCGAATTACCAAAGTGATGTTGAAAAAACCCCTTTGCCTTCCCAGGCCTCAGAATTTTAATCTGTAAGATGGGAAAGGGAGGGATTTGATGGTCGTCCTCTCTGTCTTTTGGGTTTGTGTCTTCTGAGAGGCTACATAGTAGGACAGTGGATGAGGCATGGTCTTTATTGCAATCAAGGTCTGCCTAAGTTCTTTGTGGTGGGGCCTAAGCCTTAGGGGCGGAGCCTGAGTTATACCCTGTGCCTCATGTCTGCAGCTCTGGGTGGGGATGCCAGCTTGGTATGTGGCAGCCTGCCGGGCCAATGTCAAGAGTGGTGCCATCATGTCTGCCCTGTCGGACACAGAGATCCAGCGGGAAATCGGCATCAGTAATGCCCTGCACCGGCTCAAGCTCCGCCTGGCCATTCAGGAGATGGTGTCACTGACCAGCCCCTCAGCTCCACCCACCTCTAGGACAGTGAGTGGCCTCCTTCACCCAGAAATTTACCCAGGCTCTGACAGTGTTTGCACAGCCTGCCATTGGTCTTCGGGGAGATGGGAGCATTGAGCTCTGCCTTAACTTCCCATCTCCATAAAAGGCCCTCCCTGGTCTTCAGGAGAGCATGATGCTGATTCTGGGAAGATCCCCTCAGGTCTGATTTCTTGCCTCCCACATATTGTGGGCTCCATTTCCTCATCTTGACCAGGACAACAATTGTAGATCGCTGAATAGTTTCTAGGATAAGACTTCTAGGAGTCTGTGTTATTGTCAGGGTAGGTAAAGTAAAAGTGGTAGGGTGCTTATTCATTCTGTCCTGGCCTCTACACAAGAATGCAGATTCCTCCATCTACCTCCAAGGTCACCATTAATCATCTTTGTGACTGGGTTGACCCCCGTTTCAGGTCAACACCTTCATATTCATCCAGGAAACATTTGCTGAGCACTCTGTGTGCCAGCACTGTGCTAAGCAGTGTGGTTGCAAGGCTAGAGATGTATCTCTGCTATCAGTTTGCTCAGAGCTAGATGGTGCAGAGCTGTGGGCTGGGCTTATGGGAGGAGTTGGGAGGGAGCTTCGTCCTTATCCTTGGGGCTCCCTTCTGGGGATCTTGGGGACCTCCACCCAGGACCAGTGAGTGTCTTCTCTGTCTGCAGTCTTCAGGGAATGTCTGGGTCACCCATGAAGAGATGGAAACTCTGGCAACATCTACCAAAACAGTGAGTCTGGCCCGTGAGGATGGAGGAAAGGGTGTGGGAAGTCAAAGGGACTGGTAGAGACCTAGCATCCCTGACGTTGTCTGGTTCTGTTTTCAAGGTGGAGGGTTGAGGGGTGAGATTGAGAATTGTTGGTGTATATGTTGGGGGCTCTGTTCCAAGGGTCACAAGCCACTTATAGCCTTGGACTGCAGAGAGCTTTGCCCTACCATGGGACTAAGCCACGAACTCCCTGCTCTTGGCTTGGTCCTTGGTGGAGGAATGGGAAGATGGGAATGCCTGGCATCTCTCCTAGTCAAGCTTGGGAGCTGTGGAAGCATATTTTTGCCACATACATTTTTCTTCCCATTACAAACATGCAACATCTTCCTCTTCTTTCTTAACTATCCCCCAAAGCTGCTGGGGTATTTTCCCCCATTTTTGGTGGGGCATGGGGTGGAGGTTCCAGGTTTCTTGACTTTCCTATCTCCCCGACACGCGGCGCTCGTTCCTGCTAGGACAGTGAGGAAGGCAGCTGGGCTCAGGTAAGACTCCTCCCTCACCAGAGCTACTTTCAGAAGGCCAGGGCAGCATCCTTCCCGTGAGCTCTTTCAGTAGCACAAATGGCTCAGTATAGTGTGTGCCTGTCCCTTGTCACACTTGGAGCTGTGGACAAAGTTCCTTTCTCTTTTCCCCGAACTCCTTTTCTGGTGTCTCAGGATGGCAGTAGAAGAATACTGCAGAACTGGGCCCCCAGCACGCCCAACTCTTTACAGTTTTACTCTTTGCTCACAGAGTCCTCTTCCTCTCCTTGTCCCTCCAAGGGAAACCCTAGTGAATGAGCGAAGGTCTTTCACTCATTCACTCAGCGAACAAATGTTTGCTGAGCATCTGTGAGGTACTGACCTGCTGAGTTTCTGAATATAAAAGTAAACAAGCAAACCACTTATGGACCAGTAATCAAGTAAAGTTACTTCAGTATCAGTAAACAGTTTCAGTAGGAATAAAAGGAAAATATCAACAAACAAACATGGGAACTGTATGGGACGTGGCTAGCATGGTGGGGAATGAGGCATGAAACAGCAGCGTTTGTGCTCACTGGACACATCAATGACAGGACATTCACATGATAAAAACTAGTAGAGGAAGTGGAGGAATCTTGAGAAATGTTATGTTAAGTGGTTTCATAGAATTTGTTGAAATTCAAAAACAAGCAAAGCTAATAATCTTATCTAGAAAAAGTATACACTAGTAATTTGTAAAACCTTTCTTAGAGTAGAATGGTAGGCAGAAAACTCAGTGTAGCCATTTCCTGTGGGAAAGACAGTGGAAAATGGGATGGAGAGGACAGGGCAGAGGCCTTGCTGATTCTGAACTTGGATGCTGACCACAGAAGACAACTTCATTTTCATGCTTGGTAATGAAAATATGTTATACACAATTTTACATATATCAGCATGTAAAATTTCCTTTTAAAAGAGAACAAAATGGAGCTTTTCAATTTGAAAACATCAAGCAGGGTAAGGGAAAGGTGGTTGACGGTTGCTGTCAAAGCTGAAGCTTCCTAATGAGGGGTGGCCAGGAGCCTCTGCTACCCACATCAGGAGGCAACAAGTCAGTGCAGGCTTCTCAAGCGAAGTGAGAGTATGCATGGGGACGTCAATGGAGGACCTGAAGAATTCTTAAAGCAGATGGACAGACTTTAGGGAACCACTGAATATTCAGGCACAGGCTACTGTCCCTTACTTTTTTTTCTGTGTTCAGCTAACATTTTAGTCATCCGCTGGACTGTGAGGCCAGCCACTCTCCAGAGCAGGGCTGTTATCCTTTCCAAATCCACTGTAACATGGTCTCTCCTCTGAGCTAAGTAGGCTTGAGGGTAGCTGAGAATGAGGGAGGCAAATTGGCTACATACCACTACACATTGCCTTCCAGAGTTGGCGGCAAGAACTTTGTATCCTCTGCTGCCCAGACACTTGCTCCTGGTCATTGGTATAGACAATTGATGCCTCCATTGATGCCTGGGTCATTTTGAGATCTTGAACTATTTCTATTTGAAATCTCCTACTTCCGTCACTACTAGCCTCTTAGGGCAAAGAAGCTGAAATGTTATTGAACAGCTGTCCTTTCCACATGGGTAGAGGGTGGATTGGTATTTCTCCAAAACAGACATACCAGCTGTACTGGATGGCACTGCCTACCCCCCTCCTCCCACTGATGGCCTCCTCCTTATTCTGTCCCCAGACCCTGGCCTATGGAGACATGAATCACGAATGGATTGGGAACGAATGGCTGCCCAGCCTGGGGCTCCCCCAGTACCGCAGCTACTTCATGGAGTGCCTGGTAGATGCACGCATGCTGGATCACCTCACCAAAAAGGACCTACGGGTCCACCTGAAGATGGTGGACAGCTTCCATCGGTGAGACAGGCTGGAGCCAGGACCACCTCCCTTGCCTGGACTCTCTTCCAGCCCTGGGGCTCTGTCTCTGGGAATGGAGGGACTCCTTGTTTCTGGGTGGTAACAGGTCTCCCATGTTGAATTCTTGTCTCTTTATGTAGTTATTTCTAGTTAGCATCATCTTTGATATTTTCTCTTACTTCTGAATTTCCTTGTTTGTTGTTAGGCTTGTTGTGTTAATCCCAAGAAGACTAACAGTGAATCTGGCATTCAATTTAGATTTCTTATTTCTTCCAGATTGAGGGGTATATTAGATATTTGTCTTGTTGCTGTGATAAAATTCCCTGACAAAAGCAACCTAAGAAAGGAAAGGTTTATTTTGATTCATAGTTCCAGGGTACAGTCTGTTGTGGTGAGGAAGTCAAGCTGATAGGAGTAAAGCAGCTGGTCACATTGCATCTGCAGTCAGGAAGGAGAGGGAGTTGAGTGCTGGTGCTGGTCCTTTTATGCAGTCCAGGACCTAAGCCCTGGGAATGGTGCTGCTCATTTTAGGACAGATCTTCATACCTCACTTAACCTAATCAAGATAATCCCTCTGCTATATGGCTAACCTAATATAGATAACTACTCACAGCCATGCCCAGGGGCTTGTTTTCTGGATGATTATGGATACCCTCACATTGACAATCAATATTAACCATTTATAAGTTTTTCTCTGTGATAAAACACAAAACAACTTACTGGAGAAAGAATTTATTTTGGCTTACAGTTCCAGAGGAATGGGGTCTACTGCGGAAGGAAAGATATGGCAATAGGTAGGGAAAGTGTGGGGGAAGGAGCAGGAAGCTGACTGATCACATTGCATCTGTACTCAGGAAGCAGAGAGAGAACAGGAAGTGGGGCCAGTCTATAAAACCTCAAAGTTGGGGGCTGGAGAGATGGCTCAGTGATTAAGAGCACTGGCTGCTCTTACAGAAGACCCAGGTTTGATTCCCAGCACCCACATGGTGGCTAACAACTGTCCATAACTCCAGTTCCAGGGGAATCCAATGCCCTCTTCTGGCTCTGTGGGCATTGCATGACATGGATGCACTTACACACATGCAGGCGATACTCATACACATAAAATAAAAATAAAATATTTTTTAAAAAGCCTTCAAAGCCACCCCCAGTGACTTACTTCCTCTAGCAGACTCCACCTCCTAAAGGTTCCACAACATTCCCAAAAAAGTACCATCAGCTGGCAACCAGGTATTCGAACCCATGAGCCTATGGGAAACATTTCTTGTTCATACCACAGCATCATCACAAGGACAAAGGGATTACTGGGCCTTTGCATCTCTGATGGGAGCCCCTCAGTTTTGGATCTATGTCCTTTTGTGCAGAGTATCACTTAATCCTTGTGTTCTCTTGGCTGGAAAGATCTTTCCCAAGCTGGCAGCCTTGGCAGAATTTGGCCCAAGATACATTTTGTTTGGCCCACACATATTTTAAAAATCATGAATTGAGTTGCTGGTGTCTTAACAGTAGTTTCTATATAAATTTCTGGAGGTCTTGTTTCTCTTGAAAAATGAAAAGCACTGTGAGCACACTGCATGGAAATAACCAACCCCGCCACCCTTCTTCCCTCACTTGTAGTGCCTGTCTGGTCCCAATAGGTACCTGAGCTGGAGAGGGAGGTGGCTGGTAATGGTTTCAACAGTTGACCACTTCAGGAAGTCCTTCATTATCCCTAGCTTTAAGTAACACAGGTTGCTATTCAGGCCAGGGCTTTGCCCAAGTAGATAATGAGATAGCAGGTGGCACTGGGTATGTCTCTTCAAGTTCCCTCAGGACTTTACAGACAACTTCTAATTGATACACCATAGAAATTTAAATCTGGACAGGATCTAGTTAGTCTCTTCATGGATGAGGAAACTGAGGTATAAGAAGAAACAGTAGCTTAGGGATGATGACAGAGCACATGTGGAACCAAGTCTGAGGACCCAAGTTCTGTGCTCTGGCCATCCACTGAAGTTTCCTGTCCTGGGCCCCTCAGCCTTTCTGACCTCAAAACAACTTGTGAGGGCTTCATTGAAGGGAAGCCGTGTCCTCTTCTGCCTTCTACCCCTCAATGTGGCTGAAAGGGAGCCTTTTTGACTCTGCCTAGGAGTCTGCCAGGCCTAGCTGCACTTGTCCCCTCCTGGGTGATAAGCTGGGGAGACGGGCTATTCCTCCACCAATCTGGCATGTGCCTTTGGCTGCTGGAGAATACCTTCCAGTCTCACCAGGACTATGGAAGCTTTCTTATCAGTCCCACTTCTCTGAGTCAGGAGAGAAGCCAGCCTGCCACAGTGCTGAAGCCCAGTGCTTTGAGTTTCTGAGGCATCACCTACCATGCATCTTGCCTCTGCTGTGGACTGCCTACTTTCTACCCACCTTTCCATAAGCATGTTTTTTTTTTCCTTTTTGGTGTTTTGGGACAGGGCCTCAGCAGCCTGGGCTGACCTCAGGCTTGTGACATTCCTCCTGTCTCAGCCTCCCAAGTATAGGCATGAGCTACCCACCATACCTGGCCTCAAAAGTATGTTCTTGTTCCTGGATTCTTTTTTCCTTTGCTTTGTTTCAGTGCTCGGGATGGAATCTAGAGTCTCACACCATGCTGTTCAAGCATACTACCACTGAGCTATAGCTCCAGCCACCCACCCTCCTTTTGTTTGAAACGGGTTCTCATGTAGCCCAGGATGGCCTTTAACTTGCTATGTAGGATGAACTTTTTATTCTCTTACCTCCACTTTTAAATTCTGGGATTACCAGAAGCCACTGAGCCTGGCTTCCTCAGCCCTTTCTGTATTTTGAGACAGGGTCTCACTAAGCTAGCTGGTTTTGAACTCATTCTGTTAACCTTGAATTTGCTATCCTTTTGCTTAAGCCTTCTAAGTAGCTTGCACCACTACATTTGGAAAAGTTCTCTTTTTTTTTTTTTGTTTTTTTTTGTTTTTTTGAGACAGGGTCTCCCTGTAGCCCTAGCTGTCCTGGAACTCACTATGTAGACCAGGCTGTCCTGGAACTCACAGAGATCCGCCTGCCCCTGCCTCCCGAGTGCTGGGACTAAAGGCATGTGCCACCATGCCCAGCTCGAAAATCTCTTTTAAGTCATGATTTAAAAACATCTTTTTAAAAATATTATTTTTATTTTATGTGTATGAGTGTATTGCTTGCATATATGTAAGTATATGTCATGATTTTGTTATGTGTATGAATATATTGCCTGCATGTATGTAAGTGCACCGTGTTGTACAATGCCTGCGGAAGATAGGAGTTGGATCTCCTGGAACCGGAGTTACAGACAGTTGTTAGCTGCCATGTGGGTGCTGAAATTCAAACCTGAGTCTTCTACAAGAACAGCCAGTGCTCTTAACCACTGAGCCATCTCTCCAGCCCCCATAAGTCACGATTTTTATGACAAGAAAGAAACATTTAGGTTCTTAACTTTAAACAGAGGCAACAAGTCCAAGAGAGGGTTGGTAAAAACCAACTCACTTAGCCAGGTGGTGACATAATAGATTGACATCCTCACCTTTTGACCCAACTCAGTGCTTTTCCTTGGACCACAGTGTTCTGTTGTTTGGATGACTACCTTCTAACATACAATAATCAGAACCTCCATTGTAATAGTGGCCTATTTCTGAGTACTTCAGATGTTCCCATCCATTCATTGTCACTTTAAATTCTAAAAAAAAAGGTAGGACCCTATCTTACACATGCCCAATGCCCTCAGCTAGTGTGTGGCAGCACTGGCATTCAAACTCAGCTTGACCTAACTTTAAGAGCTTTATATTTTTGCTATGCTGGACGACAGCTTTGTAGGTCATAGGAACTGTGGTAAAGATGACAGTGAGATTGATGCCAGGGGTGTTTCCCATCATGGACTGATGTGGTTATGTCTCTTCATAGTCATCTAAGGCTTCAAACAGCATCTGAAGCAATAAATACATGGCTTGTTCTGAAAAGGCTTCCTAGAAATGGTGTTTCTAAGCCATGATTGTTCTAGGCAGAAGGGCTTCCTGGGTAGAACTGAGGGGAGAGAGCAGTCTATGTAATTTAATCTCATAAAGCAATGACCTCCATAATAGCCAAAAGGCATTGGAATTGTAAGGAACTTTATGTTCTTTTGCTCTATGTAAGACAAAACCCCCAAAGATAGAAGGACAGTGTGGTGTTACAGTGGCACAAGGACTCTTATGTTTGTCCCAGTATAGAACAAACCATCTATCTGCAGGCATTCTGGTGCTTAGTCACTACTGTGGAAGTGCTGTAGGGTTGAGTCCTAGATTTGGAGGAACTTGGATTAATGGCTGTGGGATTCTCTGCCTAGATTATTGTTTATTCACTGCTTGTTATGACCTGGTACTCTTTAAGTATGCTTAGTAATTTATGTAAAGTTTCATTTAATCATGATGCATTTATAGAGTGCCTATGTTGTGCTAGGGACTTATGACCAGTGGACAAAACAGTCTCCCACCCTCATGGAACTTACATTCTAACTTGGTGAGACAGTTAATGTTCTAGGAAAGAATTAGACCAAATTAATGTGAGAGTATGGAATGGAGGTGATGATGCAGTTTAAATCTAACAGAAAAGGTGACTAGGAAGTTGGACTGAGCAGGAAACATTTGAGGAAAGACTTAAAGGTGAAGGGGTGAGCGGTGCAGAAGATGGAGGAGGAATGTTTTAGGCAGAGGGAGCAGCCAGTGCAAAGGCCCCAAGGCACTTAGGCCTCAGAAACCTGCTGTGTGTGAAGAACAACGGGTGTGTCAGTGTGGCTTCAGCAGAGAAGGCAAGCTGGAAAGAGGGTCTGACAGGTAAGGGAGCAAATTCTACAGTATCTTTAGACCATCGAAAGACAGAGTGAAATGGCAATATGATGTGGTGGTTGTCTTTATCATTTCAGGGCCTGCAGAGAAGGGACATGTTAGTTGCATCCAAAGAAAGCCCTTTCATCCATCAGGCCCTTTGCTAGTTCCTTTTTGCTGTAACAGAACACCAGACATAACTTAGGAGAAGACAGATTTATTTTTGCTCTTAGTTTCAGTCCATTTTGATAGGGGAAGGCGGGAGTGAGAAGGTCTGGGCTCCCAGGCTCGCTCCTTTTCCCTTTTTATTCTATATGGTCCCCAGTCTGTGGGATAGTGCTGCCCATATTCTGGATGGGTCTTCCCTCCTCCCTTAATCCTGTCTGGAAATGCCTTGAAGAAATGCCCAGAGGTATGTTTGACTAGGCACTTCTCCACTCAGTCAAGGTGACCATCAAGGTTAGCCTTCACAGGCCCCTCCTAGGCTGAAAGGGAGGGTGTGAGGTAGCTGAGAGAGGGAAGCAACCTCAGATCATGTGCAAGCCCTCATAGCAGAAGGAGCATGAGGGGCTGGGGTGGGGGTGTGCTGGATGCAGTGGGTCTGGTCCTACACTGGCTGGTGCAGAATGTGGGGCAGGTGGGCAGGAATGTGGCCCTACCACAGCCCTGGCTCAGGGGCTCTGTGCCTACAGAACCAGCCTTCAGTATGGCATCATGTGTCTGAAGAGGCTAAATTATGACCGGAAAGAGCTGGAGAAGAGGCGGGAGGAGAGCCAGCATGAGATCAAGGGTAAGCTGATCAGACCTGGGAGAGCTTGCTGGTGCCTGGCTTGGTCCCAGTGAGCCTCAGGGAAGACCAAAATCTGAAAGGGGAATACAACCCCAGCCTGTCTGATCAAGCACATATATATAGTCCATGTCCAATCAGATATGATTCCCCTTCCCCCAGACAATGACCACAACCAGGCAGATGTGACCCCTGGGAAGATACTATAGACCGATATGCTCATAGGAATTGGTGATCTGGGTGGGGTTGGATAGGAAAGAGGGCTTAGGACTTTGAAAGTGGAAAGAATAAGGCCATTCTGACCTGAGGTGAGGGGATGACCCATGCTGGAACTCCAGGAAAAAGTGTGTTTTAGCCTGGCAGAGATGGAGTGAGATGAGCCAGTTCAGCGGGAGTCAAGATGGCAGGGAGGACAGAAGATATGGGAAGCTGGGATGGCATGGGAGCTAGAGAAGAGGGTGTCTAGGACCCTGAGTTTAGAGGACTCCACTTCTGCACTTAGAAGAGTCTGGGACTAACTTGTTTCTTTTTTCCCCTTTCTTCCCTCCCCCATCCCCAGATGTGCTGGTCTGGACCAATGACCAGGTGGTTCACTGGGTGCAGTCTATTGGGCTAAGAGACTACGCGGGAAACCTACATGAGAGTGGTGTACATGGTGCCCTGCTGGCACTGGATGAAAACTTTGACCACAACACATTGGCCTTGGTCCTGCAAATCCCCACACAGAATACCCAGGTAGCAGCCGTACATCAGTCTTTCTCTCTCTCTCTCTCTCTCTCTCTCTCTCTCTCTCTCTCTCTCATCCATCCTTAGAGCTTTCCTAGAGTCTATCTCAAAGGGGACTGTGCATAGCCAAGGCTTCTAGGGAATATGTATCCTTCACATGCAGATAATGTGATAATGTGTTTTTCCTCACATTCTTGTGGATAACTTCAGTTCCTCCCACCCTGTTTCATAGCTGAGACTCAGAACTTTCCTTTTCCTTAAATTGCTTCTTTGACCTGACTTTTCATAAGGAACCAGCCCTGGACCCCAGAGGGACCAGAGAACCCGTATCTTTGTCTGCCACCCTAAGGATCTGCTCTTGGGCCCCAGGCTTCAGCAAACTACACCAGTGAGCACAGCAAATAGCCTCTCCATACCAGGATTATGTCTGTCAGCTCAAAAGATTAGACATCTCCTTAAATTACATTTCATACTTATTATAGAGCTGTTATTTAAGAATATATCTAAATTTTCTTGACCCTATTTATATTTTTAGCCTTTCTAACTTCCTGTGGGTAATGGATTCTAGAAGCACTAACAGTTGTGGAAAGTACTTCCAGATTTCATTTGTCCTAAATATGATTCTGCCAGGTTCCCCTTAGGAAGGAACAGTCACTACCTCACAGTTTAGGTTTGGTAAGGATTTTTATATCTGACCTGTTCTCACCTTTTTAAGAACTGTGAATTTCATAAACTCCGATTATATTGCTTCAGGCTGGGCCCAAGCCTTGTCTCTGCAGACAGAGTGGTTTTAATTCTTTTAGCCTTCCCTCTTGTGGACTTGCTGCTGCTGCTGATCATTTTAGCTGCCCTTGTCTGGACTGTTTGCAGCTGTCAGATTGCTTTTGAAATTCAGCTACTAGCTGCATGGGCTATTCTGGGAACAGGCACTTTTGGCTTGAGGGAAGGTAGGACTGTGTTGTCTCCTGGTTCTGGGTGGTGTTGGCCTTGGGGACAATGGTAGCATACAGGCCCAGAATGTCTTGTAGGCTCTCTGCCTTGATCCCTACTAACTAGTCAACACAGATAACATGGGACCTTTTTTTCTAAGAAGAGCTTGGATTTTCCCTAAAGGCAGTTTCTTTACACTGGCCCACCTCCAACTTTATTTGCAGGTTTCCTGCTTACTCACATGGCTCCAGGTATCTCTGAAATTGATACCTGTTCATTTCACCTTTCCCTACCCAGAAGATATTTGTTTTTTAAAATGTTTTATCATTTTACTTTTTAAATGTGTATGCATGTGTTACCTGCATTATGTAAGTACACCTGTGTTGTGCAGTGCCCACAGAGGTCAGAAGAGGGTGTCACATTCCCTGGAACCGGAGTTACAGACTATTTTTAGCCACCATGTGGGTGCTGGGAATCGAACCCAGGTCCTCTGCAAAAGCAGTCAGTGCTCTTAACCACTGAACCATGTCTCCAGGCCTCAGAAGATATTTGTGATGTTACTAGGCTTTTCCTTTCATTTCTAAGACCTAATGACTAAGACTATCCTGATAGAACTCTATGGTTGATGTTTCCCCTCAGAAATAGGCATTCTCTTTCCTTTAAGTCCTATCTCAAGTGCATATTTCTTACTTTCTTGACCTGTTTATTCAGCTACTGGAGGAGGTGATATCTGACTAATATGGAGTCCTTCATTGACAGTGGTTGAAAATATCTGGTGACAGAAAGTTTTGAAAACCTTCCTTCTTCTGGCAATTTTCTTTCTTTCTTTCTTTCTTTCTTTCTTTCTTTCTTTCTTTCTTTCTTTCTTTCTTTCTTTCATTTGTTCTTTCTTTCTTTCTTTTTTTAAGGTTTATTTATTTTTATTTTATGTGTGTGCGTGTGCCTGCATCTATGTATGTACACCATGAGCATGTAGGTGCCACAGTGGCCAGAAGAGAATGTTGTAGCCTCCAGAACTTGAGTTACAGGCAGTTGCAAAGCCATTCATCGTGGCTGCTGGGAACTGAACCTGGGTCCTCTGTAAAAGCAGCAAGTGCTCTTAGCCACTGAGCCATCTCTCAGCTCCTTTGGTAGTTTTCTCAATGAGTTAATTTCCGTGAGGTCTAGAAGAAGCCTCTGTGTGCCACTCAGGTGAGGGCCCCAATATCCATGACTGAGTTTGTGATGTGGAAGCTTGTCAGATGAATTTAGTTAGTCCTAACAACTTTTGCTCACCCATGGTGTGCATGCTTATTTCTCTTCTTCCTCCCTCACCGAAGAGTAGTCAGCCATGATTTTCCCTTTAGAGACAAAATATAGGTCTAATTTATTTATTTGTAGAAAATTTCATACATTTATTCAATGTATTTTGATCACATCCATCCACTGCTTCCTTCCAACTCCCCCTTAGTGCCTGCCCTGCCTTCCTTCCAACTTTATGTCTCCTTTGTGGGTTTTTTTCTTTTTTGTTATTAATAACCCTCTGAGTCCAATTAGTGAAAAGTTCTTTTTTTTCTAATAGGTAAACAGTATTCCATGATCTTGTTTTTGAAATGACATTTCCCCCCAATTTCCCCAATAGGAAAGAATCCTAAGGTTAACAGTTTGACTTCTAGTAGGATACTATTAGAGATTTGCTTGAAGGAGTCGTCTCAGAAAGGTGTGTGAGATTTCCAGTGGGCTAAAGGCACTAAAGACCAGCCCCATCTCTACCCTTGGACTCTGGGAGACAGTTGAAAGATGGCATTATGGGGGTGGGAACGTGGCAGGTGAGATGGCTCAGGGGGTAAAGGTGCTTGCTACAAAGCTGTGTTCAGTCTCTAGTATCCACACGGTGGAAGGAGAGAATCAACTCCCACAAGTTGTCCTCTGACCTTCACACATTAGCTCATGTGCATGTGCCTCCCCCCAATGCAAAAAAAAATGAAATAAAGAAAGATGGGGCTAGTGAGATGGCTTAGCAGGTACCGGCACTTGCCACTGAGTCTGACAACTTGAGTTCCATCCCTGATGGAAAGAGAGAATCAACTCCTGCAAGTTGTCCTCTCACCTCCACAGTGCATCGTAGCAAATGTTCTCTCTCTCTCTCTCTCTCTCTCTCTCTCTCTCTCTCAATGTAAATTTAGAAAAGAAAGTTTTCACAAAGTTTGTTAACTATAGCCCTTCTCAACTTTCTTCCCTCTTACCCTATGGTTTTCAGGCCCGGCAAGTGATGGAGCGAGAGTTCAATAATCTGTTGGCCTTGGGCACAGATAGGAAGCTGGATGATGTGAGTACCTAAATGTGAATTTGGGGCCTTGGGGACTTGGTCATTGTTGACTACTTGGATTGAGGTTCATGAGTTCTACCCCCTGGCTGATGAGTGGTGGACTGGCCTAAGGGGAGGAGAGCCAGAAGGGATAGGGGAATGGTAAGGGTTGGGGAGGCAGCCTTGTTGGGCATTAGTGGGACATGGAGGAGTCTCTATGAAACTCCTTTCTGGTATAAAAACAGAAGGCCTGTATGCTAGACTTCTAGCATTTTTCACTTCCACCTCTAGGCCTAGCAGTCCTGACCATGCAGGGTCAAAGTCTTTCCCACAGGCTATATCTTTGCGGTGATTCCTCAGTCTTTGTGTTTTAGACCTCATCATACCTTTCCTTGCTCAGTGAGACTTTGGCCTGCCCTCTAGTAGTATATTTGAGGATAGATGCTCTGTTGAGGTCCTGAGTAGCAGCTCTGCTTTCTGTTCTTAGGCCAATCTGAACACATGGCTTAGACTTTTAACACCACAGATCTCTTTATAACTTCACTCTTCCATCTACTTGTGCATTAAAGCTGTCCTCTCAGCCCTCCTGTCTGCAGAAACAGCCTGTTGACCTTGATTCTGTCAGGCCTTCCCTTTGGGTTCAGGGAAGACCCTGATGTCCTGAGCCATAATGCACCCTGTAAAGATACCTGAAGTCACAATCTGGCCCTGCCACTACCTCCCTCTTCTTCCTCCCTACTCATGTTCCTGTCACCAACCTTCCTTGACCTTGCCAGTCAGGTCTGCCTTAGCTGGCTTGGCTCCAAGCAAGTCAAGAGCTCAGGGCTGGTGAGATGGCTCAGCAGGTAAAGCATTTGTTGCACAGGCCTGATGACCTGAGTTTGATCCTTGGAACCCATGTAATGGTGGAAAGAGTGAAAAAAAAAAACTCCAGAGTTGTTTTCTGACCTCCTCACACACCATGGTACATACACTCGCACACATCCCATATACATACACAATGGTAAATAACAAAAGTTAAAAAAAAAATCCCAGGGGGCTGGAGAGATGGCTCAGTGGTTAAGAACACTGGCCGCTCTTGCAGAGAACCTATGCCAGCTCCACATGGCAGCTAATAAACATCTGTAAGTCCAGTTCTAGGGGATCTGGCACCCTCTTCTGGCCTCTGTGGGCATCACATGACATGGGTACACTTACATGCATGCAGACAACACTTATTCACATAAAATTAAAATAAATAAATCAAACAATTCTTTTAAAATTGTCCTCAAGCTTGAAAAAAAAAGCCCAGATTTATTTTTAGTTTCTCCATCTTCAGACCCTGCTAAACTAAAGAATGAGACTCCTGCACAGTGTCCATTGCTATCCATTTATTTAACACAGGGTTTTGAGTGCAAACAGTATTCCCAGACACTACTCAGGAGCTGGGGTTACATTGTTTGGAACAACAGCAACAATGAAATTGTGTTTTTTGTCCCTGTGGAGCACAGAATTTGATAGAGGGAAAGGAGGAGAAAATAAACAGACTAGAGGCAGGAAGAGACTAAGGAGGCAAGGAAAGGGGTAAGGGGAAAGAAGTAGTAATGAAGTAATGTAAGTCCATGTAAAATGTTTCTGGGACAAGTTCTATGACAGAGTGCTACCCTGATGCTATGACATTACCAGAGCATTTGGCATCCCCAGGGCACAGACAACAAATCCTAAGGGGCTGGAGACAGGTAGAGTTATTGAGGCAAAAATGGGTTAGTTGTCTCTGTTCTGCTGGTTCTACTCAACCCATGTCCTGGGGGCCTGTGCAGTTCTGAAAACCCTGGGTGAAAAGAGATGAGGCCTGGTCACAAGGGAGGGAGATGTGGCTCTGAAGGGTGAGGTGGGTGGCCTGTGCAGTAGGCATCCTGTGGGGTTGTGGCTCTGGCACCTACTGGCAGAGAGCCACTAGGAGACCTAGTTGACATTAATAAGGGGTGCCCACTATGTCCTTTGGAGGAGCATGTCTGTGGTCATCTGCCTGACTCACCACTGTCACAGTATGCCCTGATCCCACTGAGTAGGTAGCCTGAGAAGTAGGTGGGGCAGATGTTGGGGTTGCCATTTGACAGATAAGAAAACTGATACTCAGATAGCTACTTTCTTGCCCATTGGTAAGTAATGTGGCCAAGAGTTGTGTGACACTGTTGCTGGGGAGCCATGAACAAATGTCTGCTCACCCCAGATAGGGAACTAACAACAGACCAAAGTAAGGATACCACTGAAGTCCAACTTGTTGAATCAGTGAGTTTATTGGGGTTACTTACAGAAATGACTCAAGGACAGCTGCACCACCAAAAGCCCACCCCCGAATGAGTGACAGCTCACAAAAGCTGTAAACCTGGAGCGCATTGCACAACTTACAGGGAGCTTAACAGGTTGGAGGGTATCTCTTTGAGGCAGCTCCAGCAGTCGGAGCTTTCTAGGCAGTTTGTCTTGTCTGAGAGTATCTCTCAGCAGCCCTTACTGCTTATATACTTGTGAAACTATTGAGTTATTCACTTTCTGAGCTTTGGGAGTTTCCTGGCAGGATGGAAGGTTTCACTTCCTTTAGAACATCCATGTCTTTTAAGGAGCTTTTCTCCAAGATGGAATGTTTTATTGTGGAGGAAATTGATACACAACACAGAGACAGCAATGGCAATCCAGATGCCATGGCTCCTGACAGTGCTTTTCTAGTATACCTGGTGGAGGTCCCGGAAGGATAGGAGAGCAGTGCTGGGACTGGACAGTGACTTCCCATGGGGAACCTGGAAAGAGAAATACCTTGAAAGAGCATTGCGAAGTTCAGTTTGCAAAGGCTGGGGTGGGACGGTAACAGGAGCTCAGCCTGGAAGACAGATCTGATGGGGGACCTCCTCCCTGACCCTGCATAGAGACAGCCAAAGACTCACAGGCCGGTGGAAGTCATTCACTTCAATTCCTGATGTATTCATTCTACAAGTGAAAAAAAACAAACCAAGGGCCGGAGAGAGGGCCTAAATAGTACTCCTAGGGTCAACCGCCACCGCCCTCCCCTAGCAGGGAGTCGGGGTGGCGATTCCAGTCCGATCCCTGTGCCTCTGCCTGTCCCTCTTGGCGCAGGGGGAAGACAAGGTGTTCCGTCGAGCACCCTCTTGGAGGAAGCGTTTCCGGCCCCGGGATCACGGCAGCGGAGGCATGCTAGGCACCTCTTCCGAAACCCTCCCGGCAGGCTTCCGCGTGTCCACGCTCGGACCGCTGCAGCCGCCTCCCGCCCCGGCCAAGAAGATCATGCCAGAAGGTGAGTGATGTACTGGCCGGTTCTGAGGCCCGCCCTGCACCCGGGGGCCGAGCGGCTGGAGAGGGCCAGGCTGGAGGCCAGCTGACGCTGCACTAACGCTGCGGGCGCCGCTGCCCGGCAGGCCTTGCGGGGACCGCGCCACTAACCCGCGCTCTGTGTGTTCTCCCGCCGCTGCCGACCTCTGCCAGCCGGGACGGCGGGGGCGCAGAGACTGGAGCCCTCTACGGTCCGGACCTACTCCTGCTGACCCCCCACCCTCCCGCCCCGGGTCTGACGGGGGTGCGCCCCTGGCTCGGGGTAAGTGGGCCCGGCTGCGGCTGCAGGTGTGCGGTCTGCCCTGGCCCGGCTCGCCCTGTAGCGCCCTGCGGTGGCCGCACCTGCGCTGCCCCGCGCTGCTCCCGCCTAGCTCGCACTGCCCGGCTTGCCCTCCCTGCTTCCTGTGCAATGGGTGCCTCGCGCTTGGCCGCATGCTGCACCTACCCGCAGCCTGACCCTCAGGGACCGCCTGGCACTCACGGCGCACCGCCTCTCTCTTCTCTCCAGCTCACTCCCACTATCTCTACGGACACATGCTCTCCGCCTTCCGGGACTAGCCACGGCCGGGGTCGGTATCCTCCTGGTTTCGCAGGCTCAGCCGGCTATGACCCCTCCTGCTTGTTCCCTTTCTTTCTCGGCTCCCAGTCTTCTCCACGACTTTCCAGTTGCCCCGGATCTCAGAATATACTGATCCACCCCCTCGGCATCCCATTATCCGAGTCCCACTGAGTGCCCTTTGTAAGTCTCTAGTGGTTATGGTCAGGGTCTCCTGTGTGTGGCGGCACCCAGGTTGTTGGTGCTTGGGATTCTGGGGAAGGGAGAGAAGGGAAGCCCTGGGTGAATGTGGCGTCATCCTCTCTGTTCTAGGCTTAGCTTGGTCTAGACTATAGATTCTACCAGAACCAGGATCTTGGACTAAAGCCTGACATGGCCCTTCCAAGAAAAGGCCACTTCAGTGTCTGCCCTGCTTGGGCTAATTGGCCTTCTGGTCTCTTCCACTCTGAGTGCTTTTGGCACCCCCCTCACTCCCCCAGCATCATTTCTTCCCCAACTTGTCACCAGGATTTTTGGACCTGCATCTAGGTCTTGCTTGGGACCTAAGAGGGGTATAGAATGCCCCAGGCTCCCTCAGGCCCATGAGACCAAGAGGAGAACCAGGGAAGACTAAGGTAGAAACTCTGGGCCCTGACTGGAGCAGAATCCCAAATGTGAGGGAGAAAGGGACCCCAGAGCTTTGGGCCAAGGATGAAGGTGGGGAAACTCCCTTCCTTGCCTAGTTAGAGGTTTAGGCAGGCAAATCAGAAAGAAAGTTGTTGGCCTTATTGTTCCCTAAGACCAAAGGGTAGTGGGAATGACCTCCAGCTCCAGCCTCAGGCCCAGGTGGAGCTGCTGCTGGGCTGAGTGGGTCTTAGGCCTGAAGCAGAACGGATTTAGTTATGAGCTGCTGGCTCTGCCCTGAGGAAGAAAATGGCTTCCTCTTCAGTGAATCATATCCCAGGTCCAGGAGAGCCACTGTGGAAGAAGGCAGTCACTCCTGCTTGGCCTTATGGCATCCAGTCCTCCTTCAGAATTCTTTGGGGGTTCCTGGGCTGGCTACTCAAATTCTTGATCTCCCCCGCCACACCATTTTAATTGCTTTCCCTGACAGCATGGTGGAAACAGGACAGAGGAATTCAGGCTCTGATAGGCATATTCCTTCTTCATCTATTTCTTCACCTATGGAGGGTCTGAAAGCTCAGGACCTAATTTCACGGTGAACTGATAAAACTTAGTGCTTCATGGAAGCCAGAGGAAATGGAACATGCCTGGGGTTGTGTTTGTTGGAGATGGGCAGTATAGTGCCATCCTACAGGTGACAAGTAGTTGGTTTGCCCCCTGACCCACTGGCATTCTGAGCAGGGCCTAGGCTAGCTGGTGGGAAAATGAGCCAGAACACCTTGTCTTGAAGGGGTTTATTGTTGCTCAGTAGAGGAAAGCTTGGCCAATAGTGGTGACTGAGGCAGGCAACCACCTGTCCTTACACACACTGTTTCTGTCTCCCTACCAGTCAGGGTGCTGGGAATGGAGATGAGAAACTGTTGAGTAGAAAGTGAATTGGATAGAGAGAAAGAGCCCCTGTTCCTGTGTAGTGGATGCTGGGGTTAGAGTGAAACCTCAAAGCCCTAAGATGGATGGAGTTGAGCACTACAAGGCCACCATTCTCCTTCTAGGGACTCTCCATGGGCTAGCTATTGGCAGAGTCAACCATGCCTTTCCTCCACCTTGTAACCCTGTCATGGTTGCCATGTCATAGGCAGCAGGCGAGGGAGCTAGGTACATTCAGGGTCAGCAGGGAGGATGGAGTAGAGGAATCTGCATGCAGTGATGGAAGGCTGCTGTCTGGTGTACCCCTTGCCTCATAGTCAATTTATCTTTTTTTCCTTTGGAGTTACCAGTGACCCCAATCCTCTTTGTCAGTCTCCTGTGTCTCACCAGGTCCCTTCTTAGTACTGTATTGGCTTTGTGCACAGGAGTGGGTGTGTGTGGGTGTGAGTGGGTGTGTATGTACCAATAAACAACCTGGTTTTAAGACAATGTAAAAATGGCCTCTGGTTCTTTTTTAAATGTTCAGCTCACCTGCCATGCCCAGCATCTTTCACAGATCTTAGGGCTGCTGTACTCTGGGAAGGAAGTGTCAGAGATTTGAAAATACATAGGCAGTAGCCTTCTATTTAATATATATTCACAGGGTGATGGAAAGGTAAGTGTTGGCATGGCTTGTACCAAGAGTGTACAGGACAAGATGAAGGGCTGAGGAGCTTGCTGTCAGACTTGGTGGATTTTCTTTCACCTTTATCCATCTGCCCAGGTTTACTCTGCACCCTTTCATACTGCTGCTGCCCAACCTCATATGCACATCCCTCCACTCTTTCGGCAGCTCCCTACCACTCTAGTCTAGGGTGCAGGTCCTCCTCTGGGTGGCCATAAGAAGCTACTCATGTTTTGGCTCTTGGCCCTCTCTTCCTGCCAGTTTTGTGTCTGCCTATCTCAGAAATGTTAATGTCCACACAGTGCCCTCTCCACAACACAGCCCAATGCCTTCTTTCCTTGCCTTTGCAGCACAGTGCCCTCTCCACAACACAGCCCAATGCCTTCTTTCCTTGCCTTTGCAGCACAGTGCCCTCTCCACAACACAGCCCAATGCCTTCTTTCCTTGCCTTTGCAGCACAGTGCCCTCTCCACAACACAGCCCAATGCCTTCTTTCCTTGCCTTTGCAGCACCGACCCTTCAAGAGTTCAAGTATCTTCTGGGAGGTAATGGCTGCCTCCCCAGTAGAATTAGGTACCAACATTCCTCAGCTCCATGTTTTACACATGTTTCCCTGACTGTCTCCTCACTGGGCTTCTATGATGCCCCTTAGGTCAGTCTCTTTGATTTCTACATCCCCAGGTATATATACTTGAATGATTTGATTGACTAACCACATCTTGGAGAATTATTGAAAGGATTAATATTAATAAAAAAGGAAAATCACTGAATACTGTTGTGTCCCAGACACTGTCCTAAGCACTTAGTTTGCTCCTGCTGTTATTTTTTTTAAAAAAAAAAAACCTTAGATAATTTTATAATCAACAAAAATATGTTTCAAGGTGTTGGAGTCTGAGAAGTCCAAGAGCCCTTAGAAATAGCTTTTTCTCAAGGTGTTCTTCCATGGTGGAAGGGACTGAAGGGCAAAAGGAACTAAATAAACCATCCTCCCCTTTATAATCCCATTTGTGAACATATAATCTTATGCCCTAATCACCTTCCAAAGGCCTGTTAATACTGTTATATTGAGGATTAGACTTTCCTTTTAGATTTAAATTTTTAAAAATATTTTATTATTTTTATCTTATGTATATGAGCATATTGCCTGCATGTATGTGAGTGCACCCATGTCGTGCAGTGCCACGGAGGTCAGAAGAGGGCGTTGGATTCCCCTGGAACTGGAGTTAAGGACGGTTCGTAGCCGCCATATGGGTGCTGGGAATCAAACCCAGATCCTCTGCAAGAGCAGTCAGTGCTCTTAACTGCTGAGCCATCTCTCCAGCCCCTCCTTTTAGATTTTTAACATTTATTTATTTATTTATTTATTTATTTATTTATTTATGTATGTTTGTGTCCGTGTGAGTGTATATGCACATGTGTGGGTGCCCATGGTGGCCAGAAGACACATGGATCCCTAGGAGCTGAAGTTATAGGCATTTGTGAACTGCAGGATGTGGGTGCTGGGATCCAAACTCTGGTCCTCATGATAGCAGCAAGCACTCTTAACTGCTGAACCATCTCTCCAGCTTGGGAATTAGGTTTTAACATGAAATTTGGAGTGATCTAAACATCCAAATCATAACACATACTAAAGGATTAATATATTTAATTTTTACAACCCAGTAATGTATGATCATTGCCATTTTATAGAACAGGAGACTGTAAGGCAGAGATCACACACTTGGTGAGAGAGAAGGATTCCAAGCCTACTTCTGATTCCAGTGCCATGTCCTTAACTATAATCTGTCTGGTAAATTCCTAACTCAGTGCCAAGAGTACTTGACTGTAACTTGCTGCTTTTTCAAGAGCACCTTGTGATTTCTCCAGATATCCCAGTTCTCTTTCTCCAGCATCTTTGTCTGTACCACTAAGGTGGCCCTTGGCTCCTATGAATCATCCTGGGGCCATATTTTGCTCATCTGAGTGATGGACCCCTATCTATGCAGCATGGTATACTGCGCAATCTTGTATCCTTTCCATAGTCAGTGGTGCCCAAACACTGATGGATGGAGCAAGAATGGCAGAGTCCATATGTACAGGTGACAGGAGGACAGCCCAAGAACAACTTAGGCAGAGCCCAGGTAAAGAGAGGTGAGAAGGTGAGTTGTCTAGTGTCCACAAGCCTCTCGGTGCTCCCTCCTGTACTCTTCATGGTCAAAGACAGACCTGCTGAGCTGTAGTGACCAACTGGCTACAGGAATGAGATCTGAAGGGTTCCAGAAAGCTACAGCTTTCCAGTGTTGCCAGCCACGGGGGTGCAGAATAAAGAGCTATCTTGTGTAGAAATGTGACTTTGGTGTTAGACATGCTGAGCCTGACATAAGACCCATTGCTTCTTTCAGTTTCTTCAGAAAAGAATCTAGTTTTTTTTTTTTTTTTTTTTTTTTTCTAAAAAAAAAAAAAAAAAAAAAAAAAAGTGTGAGCGTGCTGGACCGTAAAAAAACCCCATTTTTTTTTTAATTTTTTTAAAAAAAAAATTTTTTTTTTTTTTTTTTTTTTTTTCCTAGAATGCTTTCCTTTGCTCCCTCTAGAAATAATCCAAGCAAAGTGAGAGGCAGGGAGTCTGGGTCTGGGTGGTCATCTATGGCTGGGGAAGATAGGGGAGAGATACAGCAGGGTCCCTATGGGGTGGTGATGTGGGTTCCTCCCCAGGCCTGAGCTGGGCTTACTTAGCCAGTCTCATTTAGAGTGCTACCTCCTCCTAGGCTTTGGTGCTCCAGCCTGAGCCCAGAAACCAGGAAGCTAAAGAAGCCCATAGGACATGACATGTTGGGGATAGTAGGGTGGCATTCCATCCATGAAACAGGCACCCAAGTTGAGGGGGCACCTCTCCTCTCACCCTCTGTTCTCCCCCCTCCACCTTCCTCTCCACTTGGCCCCAATTACCTATGATACCTGAAGAGCTGCTTACAGAAAGGTTTTCCGGTCAGCCAAGTTAGATCCTGAAGTTAGATATCTAAGAGTGTTTACTTGAGGCCACAAATAGTGCTTGGAGCATCCTATAATTCACAGTAATTAGCTAAACATTGAGAAGTCCTACTTCCATATTAACAATTGGTATGCCAATTTCAAGTAATTCTTATCTTTTCATTCTTGTGGGTCCTTAAAGTTCATTAACCTAGTTTGATTTATTTTAGGTACTTCCACTGAAGAAGCAATCTAATTTCCCTAAAGAGCTCTGCCTCATCATTCATTAAATTGAGTCTTATATGTAATTCTATTGTGGAGGTTGAGGATTTGTTAATTTAAGGAAGTTCTTATGCTTTGATGACTGTGCTGGACAGCTTTAATTGTCAACTTGATACACCTGGCTAGAGGGAGCCTCAATTGGTGAATTGTCTCCATCGGACTGGCCTGTGGCCATGTCTGTGGGGCATCTTCTTGATTACTGAGTGTGGGAGGACCTAGTCCACTGTGGGTGGTGCCGCCCCTGGGAAGGTGGGCCTATGTTATATAAGAAAGCAGTTGAGTGTGGGCCAGGGGAGCAAGCCAGTAAGCAGCGTTCCCCCATGGCCTTCCTTCAGCTCCTGCCTCTAGGTTCCTGCCTTGAGTTCCTACCTTGGGCTCCCTCAGTGATGAACTGTGACCAGGAGGTGTAAGCTGAATAAACCCTTTCCTTCCCAAGTTGGTATTGGTCAGAGTGTTTTGTCACAGCAATGGAGAAGCAAACTAGAACAATGACATTCTGTGAAAATAATATTCTGGATTCCTATATGGCAGGGTTTGTTATTCACATTTTAATATTTTATTTATTATTTATTTTATTTTAGTTTATGTGTATGAGTGTATTGCCTGCATGCATGTGAGTGCACCTGTGTCATGTGATGCCATAGAGGTCAAAAGAGGGCATTGGATTCCCCTGGAACTGGAGTTAAGGATGGTTTATAGCTGACATGTGGGTGCTGGGAATCAAACCCGGGTCCTCTGCAAGAGCAGTCAGCTCTTAACCATTGTGCCATCTCTCCAGTCCCAGTTATTCACATTAAAAAAATATTTTATTTATTATTTTTATTTTATGTGTATGTGTGTTTTGCCTGCATGTGTGTAAGTGCATCCATGTTGTGCAGTGCTTTTGGAGGTCAGAAGAGGGCATGGGATCTCCTGGAACTGGAAGTATAGATGATTTTTAGACACCATGTGGGTGCTGGAATTGAACCAAGCTCCTCTGCAAGTGCAGCCAGTGCTCTGAACCACTTACCCATCTCTCCAGCCCCTCATATTTGTTTTTGAACTTGAGGACTTAAAGACTGGAATTACACCTGACAATGCAGGGATCTGTTGACTCTAATGCCCTCTGCTATGAGTATGAATATGTACCCCAGTTTTCAGTTGGCATAATTGAAGGCAAATGGGCTTTAAAACTATATCCAGCAACTGCAGTGCCCATGAGCTTCTTGGTGTTGAGTACCCATCCTCTTGGCCAGCCCTGGACCCATAGGAGGGGACTAAAAAGACAAGGAATGGGCAGGTCACAACTGAAGGCAGTGGGGTGGTATCCACCATAGAAGGTTTGGAGGCATTGGGACAGAAGAAATGAATCTGAGTGGGAGAAGAGCCCCTTTTGGCTGCATAGTTGAGTATTTTGGTGGTAAGTAAGGGAGCACACTAGATAAGTTGTGGTAGAGCAGGTACCTCCTTCATCCCAAGGGCAGAGGGTCAAGGCTAGGTTTAGATCTTCTTCGGTCTCTCCAGGATGGGAAGACAGTAAACCGAGTGACATGAACTCAAAAAGAAGAAAATCCCACAAACTGGATGATTGCTTACTTGAGACAAGTAAGGCCTTGAGGAGTCCTCTTTATATCCTCTCACCCAGGTTCTCTGAGGCCCCACTGAAGCATCTTTCCTACTCTATCCCTTAGGTAGAGTAGTGAGGCAGGGTGCTGCCCCCTCCCAGGAGCAAGATCAGGAGGGCAGTGGGGGAGGCACCCAGCTGAACCAGAGCAAGTGTAGAAATGGCCGCCAGTACCTGCTTTGCTAAACTGGCTCAAGTTGGCTGTCCAGAGCCCTAGAAAACTGAAGGGGGCCCAGAATGCACTGTGCGCTGAATCCTCATTCTGAGATGAATAATTTGCAGTAAGCCGGACATCCCCAAGCAGTTGGAATTAATAAAGTTTAAGTAGGTTTTCTTGGTCCGTTCCAATTCTTGCTCCTTTTAATTTGTTAATGCTTATGTAATCTTTATCCAAACTCTTTGCTCTTAGTTCCCCACCCACCTCCCCTTAGGAAGCCAGTCTTTGAAAAAAAATAGCATCCCAAATGATGAGAACCCCAGCTTTTCCTTCTTTGTTCTTTGCAAACCTTTCCCGTCTCCCCCAACAGAATCTCCTCCTCTTTGAGCTGTAGCTAGGGACAGGCATATTCCTATGCCTAGAGGGAAGGGCAGAAAGGCAGTAAGCGGACATGCTATTTGTCCCGTAAGGAGAAGATAGTGTCTGACCCCATTTTCTCTGATGTAATTGCCTCCCACTTCTCTGCAGGGCTTCTGGTAATGTGGAAGTAGAGAAGAGACAGGGTCGAGGGAGGAGAGACCCACAAATCCTAGCTCTCTACCCCTAGCTCCAGCTGTAGGCTGAGCACAAGGCATGTGAGCATGTTCAGTGGACCTACTGGGCTATGTAAGTTGGAGCGCAGTAGACTGTGAATGATATCTGTGAACTAAAGTGCTACAGAGTGCTCAGCAGGCCTGCTTCTATGTGCCTAAGACTCCTGAGGAACCTGGTGTTCCCTCAAGCTGTGGGTCAGACCCACCTGAATCTTGTACCTAATGACTGCTTCCAGATTGCAGTTCCACCCACGCTAGTCCCTACCTCCCACTCCTGGAGTGTGTCTGGACTTCCATGGAGCAGAGGATGGTTCTGTCGGTCTCTCCCCTCCTGTACATCATTGTAGATACTTTTAAACCAGTCTTTATTCATTTTTTAAAAAAAGGAAATCCAAATAAGTTAGCAAAAAAAATTACAAAAAATGGCAAAACCACACAATGCTTAGTTAACAAAAGAAGTCACCCAAGAGCCCCCACCCAATTCCCTGCCTGTCTCTGGCAACATTGGCACAGGAGACCTTGGTCAGATGGCAGCTTTACAAACAACACACAAAACAAAACAATACACAAACCACTGGAAGGTTCCCAATATTCACTGCAAAGACTTGGCCCCCTCTCCCCCTGGGGACCTGGGAATAGAGAATTGTTCTCTCCCTTTCTTCTCTCTCAATTCAGGGCAGGTCCAGCCCAGCCACTGGCATCAGGAAGGGAGCAGAACAGGAGATGAGCACACTTGTCCAGGTCAGGACACAGCCTCTGTCTCTCAACTGTTTCATTTGGGGGGGGTGGAATTAGAGGTGTATTATGATAAAAAGGAAGCTCCTGAGTTTGCCCCTCTGGGGGACATCCACAAGGAGGTGCTCTGGACCCCAGCTTTCTCTCCTTGGAAGGGGATGCCCTCTGCTCTGAGGAGCCAGCTAAATTAGGGCATCCATTCCCTTGCTGGGCTGAGTGTTAACCTTATATGAATGGGAGGGGATAGTCTGGCCTATGGCAGCCCAGAGCTGTTTTCCTGGCATCAGTACAGCCTTGCTTAGGAGGTCCCCTGGAGAAGTGGTGGCTTTGACACCAGCTTGGGGGCTCACACAGACACCCAGCCTGGCAGACTATCTTAGTTGGGCATACTTTCATCTGGGAAGGCCACAGACACATCCTCCACTGTGATGCTGTCCACGATGGAAGTGAGGGAGTGCAGGTTGTGGGCATCTGTAGGGTCAGCTGCCAGCAGATGATCTGTAAGGAGAAGGTGGGGAGGGAGGGGCATGGGATCCTTGAGTTGACACAAGTTTTCCAGGACAGATGGGTGACAAGACTCAGGAATGTCCCCAGCCCCTGGTACTCCCCATACACTGTGTGTCAGGGAGTGTGTACTCTCTGTGGTATGCTGCGTCTTTGAATTCCCCTAGTATGGTTAGGATTCGGAAGTGGCTATTCCAAGGTGGATCTAGGATGGTGTATCATGGGGAGCTGAAGCTGCCCTTTCCTGGTCCTGGTTTTACAGCACTGACTCAGCAATTCCCAGAGACCTCTTGGGCAGGGACAGTCTCTTCTCCCTGAGAAGGTCAGCCACCAGGCACCAGCTGGGAAGCTGCAGGAGGCTATGACAAGGCTGCAGGGAGGCACAGGGCCTCCACACCACCATTTGGGGCCCTCACGTCAGCAGGTTTCTGGAAAAGCCACAGGAAAGGGCACTGGAAGAGGGAATAAGGTAAGGGGGCACAATCTGGCCTAGTCAGGGGCTAAGGAATTTGTGTTGTGTTACCAGGGTCAGGCTTCACTTACCCCCTGAGTTGGGGCCGAACTCCAGTGCACTGCCCCATTCTGGACTGCAGGAGGCACTGTGGGAGTTGCATTCACTGGGCACCTGTAAGACAAGGCCAAGCAAGACCCAAGGTCAGGTCACTGCCATCCTGCCTGGGTCACAAGGTAGGTCACCTACCTTAGAATGTTCAACCCATGGAGGCCCTGCTGCTGGGCCTTTCCTAGTTTCCAGGAAGATGATTTTGCCTTCAGTCTGGGGATAAAGGTGATGAGGCAGAGTATTTTGGGCTTCCCTGGGTTAACTTCTGAGCAGACCTGCTGGGGTTCTAGTGGGCTGGTGGGTTTTAACAGCTCAAGCATGGAGGCCATGGACTCAGGGCGAAGCAGGTGTTTTGGGCCACTGGACCTGGACTTCATGTTCTGACTCAAGTATGGGGATCAGCCTTCACCCTCACATAAGCTGACTATGGGCTTGCCCCAGGGCTCATTCTGCTGTCCTGTGCCAATTGACCCAACCCATCTGTATCTCTTGCCACTACCTTTGTTTGATCTGGAAAGAATCATGGGCACAGGAGGTCACCTGGACAGCCTCACTGACAAAGAAAAGGGCCCTGACGCTCCCAGGGCCCTGCCGGACACTTGCTCCAATCCTGGTGGCCAGAGGCTGACCAGGCCCCCCCCTCTGGCCCTATCCCTGGTAATGGGCCACGGACCACTTACCCCCGGTTGGGGACCACCCCCGCCTCGGTAGCGGAGATCTCGCTCCTCCTGGTTGAGGGAGCTGAGCAAGGCCTGCAGGCGCTCGATGTACTGGATAGCACTGCGCAGTATTTCCACCTTGGGCAGCCTCTGGTTGGGGTTGAGCAGGGTGCTCCTCTTCAGGGCCTCGAAGGCCTCGTTCACCTTCTTCAGCCTACGCTTCTCTCTCAACGTGGCTGCCCGCCTCCGGTCCACAGACACAGACTTCCTCTTACACACCTTACATGCCCACGGCAGACACTGGCCTGGACAGTGCTCCGAGGTCCCTAGCCCTTTTTCTTCTAGGGGTCCTCGGGCCTCCGGGCTCAGGCCGAGCTCAGTCCGCTCATAGCCCGGGGGCTCAAAGCCCTGGAGGTGGACCGGCAGGTAGTTTTCCCCATCATAGAAGTGGGGCTCCTGGTAGAAATAGGGGGATGTTTCATACAGCTCCATCGGGTCGGAAAAGACTTGTTCCTGCCACCGGCCCCCAAGCTCCTGCAGCCCCTCACGCCAACTGCTGGGTGCCATTTAAACCCTCTCTGCTGGCATGGACCCAGAGATAAATATAGCCAACGCCACAGAAACCTGAGCCCCTCTCTAAGCTGTTGCTGCACATCAAGACGTTTACAGTGGATTAGATGTGATTCCCCTTCCCTCTTCTGTGGCCCCCACCCCACCCAACCATCCTGCCCCTGCCCAGGCGGCTCCTGCGCACGGGTCGGGAGGCCGTCGGGTGTAATTTGATTAGTTTTCATTTCTCCACAGCCCCTGTGGGGCAGGGAAGGTGGGGGCGGCGCATTCCCCTCTCATCTGCTCCTTTCAATTACTCTTACCCCGGCGGCTTGCCTGCACTCCTCCGTGGTCCAAGACAGCCGGTGGATAGGGCAGGAGACAAGAAAGGGGTTGTCTGGCCTGGAAGGAGCCTTTCGGGTCCATCTTTCCCTCTCCTCGCTGCTTGACAGCACCTTAAACCACACCATGTTAGTTCCATGAGACCCTTAAAGACTTCCTACCACAAACCACAAGACTGCTCCAAATTTGGGGCATATGTGGGTCCCTAGTGTCCATGGATGAGGAGGACAGAAACTCAGAAGGGTAGCTGGATTAAACATCTGGGTTTCCAATGTAGCTTTGATCTTATATGTTCTCTTAGGTTTTGTGTGATGGGATAAATTGGGGTGAGAGAACTTGAGGATTTGGGGAATTGTGTAGTAGGGGCAAGGGGAAGTCAGTGTCAGTGGAAGGATTAGAATTCACAGCCTCCACATTGCTACCTTTCCCCAAGTGACAAGGTCAATAGCCACTCTGTCCCTTACCTATGTTATTTGTATGCATCGGTTCTCCTCAGGCCTCAGCATAGTCTCCTGCCATATTTAGACACCAGAACTATCTTGACTCCTTTCTATGGGTGTGGTGGGAAGGAGAAAACTGTCCTTTATATTCAGTTTGCATCTTTCCTGAACCACCAGGCTGGCCTCTTCTGTCTCTTCCTTTCTGAGCCATCACTTTTTGAAAAAAAAATATTTTCTTATTTTTATTTTATGTGTACGAGTGTGTGGCCTGCATGTATGCGAGTGCACCCGTGTTGCGCATTGCTGCAGAGGCCACAAGAGGGCTTCGGAGTCCCCTGGAACTGGAGTTAAGGACAGTTTGTAGCCGCCATGTGGGTGCTGGGAATCGAACCCGGGTCCTCTACAAGAGCAGTCAGTGCTCTTAACCGCTGAGCCGTCTCTCCAGCCCCCAAGCCATCACTTTTATATTCATCATGGAGCTCTTGAATATCAGGTGGAGGATATTTAATCAATGGGTGCATCAGTCAGTGGTTACCTTTTGGTAGAGGCCTTAAGGTCTTAGAGGATCATGTTTTAGCACTGTGTGTGGGCCTCTGGCTCTCCTTGTTCATCCCAGCCTCTGAAGCCTGAATCTCCTTCTTGTGGATGTCGCATGACAGCCGATTCCACTGACCACAGGTTTGGGAACCCTGAGCTTTGAGCAGCAAACTTTTGCCCTTGGAGATTTTTCTCTAGGACCCTGTACACTAAGTGTGATTCACCCTGTCACCCCTATTCCAGTAGAGGAGGAGATGAGCACGTTAGGACTAGGACAATAAGGGGGAGTGGAGTTGTGTGAGGTGGGGACTTAGGGAGGACTAACTTCACAGCAGAGGTGAGAGCTTCATGGGCTTTGAAGGACCAGCTTTCTCCCCTCCCCTTAGCCACAGAGAAGAGCTAGAAAAAGACCAGCATCCTTTGAGGTAGGAAACAAGTAAGGAGGGGAAATACCTGGACAATTGAAGAGCCCTAAGCAAATTGGGCATCAGTGAGGCCTTAACTCAGCTCTTCACTTGTAGGATACAAAGTATAGCACAGGTGTTATGAGTTCTAAACCTGACCTTGATCCCAACCAGCTGGGCCAAAGAAGGATCTCTATTTTCACCATACTTCCCACTCTCTTTCCCCACAAAGAAGAAAGAAAAAATAAACTGAAAATCTTTTTTCAGTTTAGGCTCTAGTCCCATGAGCCCTGAGAAAAAGGAGTGATGTCAGAGCCACCTTGGAAACCCAGAAGGTGCATTTTGTTCTTGTGGGGTCCAATCTGACTTACCCCTAAACAATCATCATCTTCCTCTCACATGGAAGCAGAGGGGCTTGTTCTTTGGTGGCTTCCAGGACGCTGCTGTCTAATAGGTGAGCCTGGACACTTAGCAGAGCATGTGCCATTACAAGGCTGGGAGAGCTAGGTTAATGTAGCAGCCAATGGGATGGCTGAAAACTGGGTGGGCGTGGTGGCACACACTGTCAATCCCATCCTTAGGGAGAAAGAGGCAGGAGGCTTACCAGTTCCAGGCTTGCCTGGGCTATGTTGGGAGTCTCTCAGACAAAAAAAACAAAAGCAAACACCCAAGGACAGTCTGATCACTTGCAAATGAATAGCAAAGCCACTAATGGCTGGAGCTCTGGAGGGTTGGGGAGGAGACTGCTAGACTGGGTCTTGGGAAAAGGGCAGGACAAGAACCGGAAGAGGTGAGGAGAGGAAGGGGCAGTGGATTGACCTGTTTGTGTGGATCTTTGGGTTCTGGTGAAGGAGTGCCTAGAGACAAGTCTGCAGGGATAGGAGGCCCAACTGGGCATGGAGGGTCTTGGCGTCTGAGGAAAGGAGACCACATAGACCCCCATGTCAATAACCTAAGAATAAGATAAAGGTCTGAACTACCTGTTCAGAGGTGGTGGCGGGGTGGGGCGGGGAGTGGATTTGACAGGGCAAACATGCATGTTTGAGGCTGACAGCAGATGGTGAGTGTAGTATGTACATGATGGATGGCACCTAGTACGTAGAAACACCTTGTCATTTCTCCTGTGCCCTCACCTGTTCTTAGCCCCATGTTCCCCTTGCTAGGTGTCCTCATTGACCCTGTGAACCACAGGATCAGGGATGGAGGAGGGACAACCTCTCCTTCCCCCATTCTTTCAACCAAGAAATGTGCCCTGAGCACTGGGTGCCAGGTAACATAGGCTGTCCCATGAGCCCAAAAGGAATCATGTCAGAGAAACCCAGAAGTGAGTGAGAAATGAGCACCCAAACTCATCTTTCCAAGGTAGAAGATGCTAAATGACAAAAGAGAAGACTAGAAAAAGTGCCAGTATATCCAGAGAAGAAATGGATTCATTTGCTCCTTTCTCTGTTCAGCTCCTCTTCTTGCTTGGTCCCTGAGTGGGGGTGAAAGCAATGACTCGACAGCCCTTGTCTGTAGGAAACTCTGCTGGGTGTGAGTGTGGCCTTGTGTCTGGTCATGATATTTACCTCTGACCTAACATGAGGGTAGAGCTGGGAGTTAGGGTGACCTTGTGCCTGGACCTTTATAAATCTTTGTCTGTAGATGTTTATGTATGTCCGAGTTAGGTGGCCTGAAGACCATACCAGGCCCCACTGTGCGGGGGTTGCAGATGGTTTCAGGATTGAGATGATGGGGTCACCCAGGTGTCTCTGACCTTTCAAAATCCCAATATACTGGGCTGGGATGGTCCTTTACCCATCATGTTCTCTCAGCCAACTTGTGAAGCATGCCTAGTCCTTAGTCTTCCTCCCTGTACACCCCACCACCTTGCAAGCTGCCCTCTGATGGATGGGAACACATTGGTGCCAAGCACAGAGCAGCCTTTGTGCTCCACCATCAGTGGTGATCCATCAGCTCTGACCTGACAGCAGGGCGTCCAGCCCTAATCCCCACCCCTACTGTGTGGGCACATGGGGGCCCCTGCCCCTATTCAGACTGTAGCCTCCTCCTCAGGCAATCAGGCTTCCAGAGGAAGCACCTATCCCTTGTAGGGGCTTCAGATCTAGGGTGTTGCCCCCTACCCCAAGCATCTCAGCTTTGCCTATTTGCATGCTGGACTGATCTCATTTGCATGGTAGCATTGGATTTCAGAAATCCCCTTCACCTGCTCTCTGTTCCTTCCCCTTCTGCTGCACAACCAGCCAAGGCTGTCTGGCCTCCAGCCTTTCCTAGTCCCTGTAGACCCCACAGACAGGCTGACTTAGACTGCCAGGTTGCTTGGCTAAAATCAAGACAAGTTTCCCATTCTGGAATCTCATGTGCTTGGGAACAGAGGAGCAAGAGGGTACAGAAGCCAGAGAACCTTTGACTTTTCCAAATGCGTTCTACCTTTTGTTTTCTTGGGCTGAGTCTCAAGTATTGTTTATTGGACTAAGTGGGATTGGGGATTGGGAATGCGTAAGTATTTCAGTAAGACATAGATGCAAAATATGACATACAAATTAACATTATTTATGAGGAAGTAGCTTTTTAGCAGGATATGAACAGATCACAGCATCATAGACCATCAGAGATACTAGGCAGCTGAGGATCACCTAGTCCATCTTCCTTATACACATGGGGAAACAGAGATCCAGGGAAGGGACTTACTCAAGGATGCTGAGGAATAGTGTCAGAGTAACAGGGGTATCTCTTCTTGGAAGGGCTGAACCTCTCTCCTGCCCTGAGGTCACAAGTGAGGAAGGGTGCAGTTGCTGGGACATGTTGACAGGTGAGTGTGGGGCCATCGACAAGTGGACATCGAAGGGACTGCGAGTGAGTTCAGGGAGACCTCGGGAGAAGTTGTTACAGAGAGAGGAAAAGAAGAGACAGGACAAGTATGAGAAGAGATCTGGCCTTAGAACAGGTGAGGTTTGGAGGCAGATGAGACTAGGGCTGAGAAGTGGGAGGAGGACAGGCCCTGGCCTTTGGGCCACATTGTTTCCATGAGGACCGAGCATCAGATAACCACTGGGAAATCCCATCCCTGCCTGGAATCTGGAGCTCAGAGCCAGGATCATTCTTCAAGAATCTTTGGCTTTGGGGTAGGGGAAGGATCAAACCTGGAGGCAGAAGAGTTTGGGTTCTAGGACAGCTGGGGTCAAGAAGTGTTTGTTGGAGACAAAGCTGGTCTTCAAAATAACCAGAACAGGGCTCAGCTGAGCACATAGCAATGTGAAGGTGGGGGTCTGGCTCTCATGAAGACTATAGAAATAAGGGGGAGG